CGAGGGCCAGGAGTTCACGCCGGAGCGTGTGTGCGTGCGGGCCGCAGACGGGCAGGCGTTTGCGATCGGCACCGACTCTCCAGCCAGCGCCTCCGAGGCCATCCCCGTGGCCGACGGTCGACACGGAGCCCACCACTTGCAAAGCCTGGGGCTGTCGACACAGCTGGTTGGCGGCGAGACCCAACAACGCCCCGCTGGGACTCCGCCCGCCGCCGCCCCTGGTACTCTCGAAGACCCCTTGCCGGGCAACCACGAACGCGCCTTGCAGAGGCAGGACGTCGAGGCCATCCGCCAGCTTGTCGAGAGAAGTCCCTTCGCGCCCATTCGCCCTCGTTCCCCTGTCAGCGAATCCGCCCGAACGGACAGCGAGCCGCAGCCACTCACGCCCGAAGGCCGGGCCGCGCTGAGGAAGGCGACCCCCGTCCTGGCGAAAGAAACGGTGTCTGGCAACGTGCCTGGGCCAGGCGCGACCCGCAGCACTCCCACACTTGACGAAAGTCACGCTGCGACAGACGGGGGCGCGCTCGCGGGCGAGGGCGGGCGCGGATCTGATGGCGAGCGTCAACGGGAGGGGTCTGCCCCCGCTTACCACAGTGCAGCAGTCCTCTCAGCCCCAGCTGCTGGAGGCGACTCGGCCTTTACTTGGCGGCCAACCGTGCGGCCCGCGCCAACCCGCAAGTCCCCGCCAGACTTCCGCGCGCCAGTTGCCGCCGCGCCCCGCGAAGCCATAGACGATTCGAACCGCGTGTTTTCACGTGTCCACGCCACCCAGATGGGGTATCTAACATGGTGGTCCTGAGCTGGAACCGCGTGCTTTTACGTGTCCAATCCACCCACGAAGTATCTAACATGGTGGTTCCGAGCTGGAGCCGCGTGCTTTCACGTGCCCAGGCCACCCAGGGGGTATCTGACATGGTGGTCCCGCGCTGGAACCACGTGTTTTCACGTGTGCAGGCCACCCAGGTGAGTGTCTAACATGGTGGTCCCCAGCTGGAACCGCGTGTTTTCACGTGTCCTCGCCACCCAGGGGGGTATCTAACATGGTGGTCCCGCGCTGGAACCACGTGTTTTCACGTGTCCAGGCCACTCAGGGGGTATCTAACATGGGCCTCTTGGATCCTTCCTAGGGCTCGGAACGGAACGTCGAGAGTTCATTTGTATGTGGTATCGATTCGTTTACTTTTTGGCCTCCAGGCGCCGCTGGGCGTTCCTGGGCCCTCCTGTGCTCCAGACGACCGCATGTTAGATATACCCCCTGGGTGGGCTGGACCACGTGTTGTTACGTGTGCAGGCCACCCAGGGGGGTATCCAACACGGTGGTCCTGAGCTGGAACCATATGTTTTTACGTGTCCAGGCCACCCAGGGGAATATCTAACATGGTTGTGCCGAGCTTGAACCACGTGTTTTTACGTATCCAGGCCACCCAGGGGGTATCTAACATGATCGTTCTGAGCAAGGACCACGTGTTGTAACGAGTCCAGGCTATTCAGGGGTGTATATTGCATGGTTTCCAGAGCTGGCACAATGTGTTTTTTGGTGTCCAGGCCATCCAGGGTGATATCTAACATGGCTGCCCCGAACAAGGACCACGCATTTTAACGTTCCGTAGCGCGTCCCCTCGGCACGTCCCGCGGTGCGCTCCCGTGGCACGTCCCCTGGCACGTCGCCGGCGCGTCCCTTGGGACGTTCCGCGGCGCGTCCTCCTGGCATGTCCCCCTGTCAACGAGCTCTGGGGCAGCTACTAGGTGCTCAGGCAGCTCGAGCTTAAGATCCAGATCAGTTCGGTCAGGACTCGGATGCAAAGGAGGACTCTATCCACAACGCTATAGAGCTCAATCGCGGCCTTGCACATCGCAATCCAGCACGGCGCTGCACGGCACAGCCCTCGTCACGGTACATCAAGATCGATACATTCAGCATTGCGTTTGCTCGTCGCCCAATCAGGTGTCTTTGAAACGTTGCCATGCCTTACATATCTATATTCCATTCTGGGCTCGTGGGTCGATCATGTTCTTCTCGGGTCTTGAGGTCCTCTTGGGGCTCCGTTTGTAAGTCGTGGGGTTCTCTTGGAGCCCTCTTGGGGGCATCTTGGGAGCCTTGAAGGGCTTCTTAGGGCCACCCTGGCGGGCGTCGATCAAAAGAGGGGGGTCCTCGATTTGCCTGCCCACTCTGGGGCTACCACAATGAGGACAGTGGAGGGTGCGCGAGGCCAGGCAAACGTTGGAGGGAGGAGAGGCGAGGGAGAAGCGATCTTAGACATCCGACCTCACGACGTTTTCGTGACGTAGCCTGGACCTCTCGGCGCCTTCCCGTGGACAAGGTGCCGACAACGGGCCCCCTGCCCAGGCCGAGTTGCTTAATTCGGGGGAGGGTAGTAAATTTGGGGGGGACGGAGGGGAACCGTACCGTACACCTTTCGTGCCTCTTTTGGGCCTCAGGGGGCCCTCTTCAGGGGCCCTTTAAGGATCAAGCTGTGCACCTTTCTCTTGCACCGCCCGTCTATCACGCAGCGCCGTGATGACCTGTCCCTTGCGACCTGCCCGGGGACGCCAGGAGGCCAGATGGGGAAGATTGGGACCATGACTTTCGAGAGTGCTAAGACATAGCTCTCCAGACCTACAGACCTGGCTGAACTGCCTAAAACCTCAACTGGAATTCAGATGCGATGTTCCCGCGTAGATATCCGTAGCCATTCTGGCTCAAGGAAGTGGTCTCAAGTCATAGCCAATGTGTGAGCCTCCTTCCTGATTCAAGCCGACAGTCTGCTTGAACCTAGTTAGGCTGTGCAGTCGGGAGTTGCTCGGGGCTCCTGCGCGATGCAGCCGTCAGCTACTGCCTTTGCCGTTGGTCGACCGAAGCTCGGCCTTTCAGTGGCTCAACAAACAGCTGCCCTTCGAGGTGGGTATTGTCTCTCTAAGGCTTACAGCGACAGCCACAGTAAGCTGCAATGGATGTGCGCACGAGGCCATCAGTGGGCTGCGCCACTGGCATCGGTTCGTGGAAAAAGAAGCTGGTGTCCCAAATGTGCTTTCAATGCTCCATGCTGTTTGGATGATGCTTCGAAGTTGGCAGCATCCCGTGGTGGGCTTTGCTTGTCAAAGGCGTATGTGAATAGCTGGTCGCATATGCACTGGCAGTGCCGCTGTGGCCACACATGGATGGCCAGCTTGAGCACTGTCAGACGGGGCAGCTGGTGCCCGCTCTGCGCTGGCAACGCCCGGCTTGGTTTGAATGTTGCAATGGGATTGGCTGCAGCCCGCGAAGGGGCTTGCTTGTCCAATGCGTACACGAACATGTATACGAACATGCATTGGCGATGCAAATCAGGACACGAGTGGCACGCCCCATTGAGGAGGCTAAGATATAACGGCGTGTGGTGTCCGACGTGTGCCAAGAAGCGCAGTGCTTCCCTGCGGCTGGCAATTGCACAGGGCGTGGCTGGCAGTCGGAGGGGTTCCTGCTTATCTTCTGAATATATGACCAACAAAACAAGTTTACGATGGCGCTGTCATTCAGGGCATGAGTGGGAGGCCAATCTGAACGACGTCAAGGACAAAGGAACCTGGTGCCCACACTGCGCAGCTAGAAAGAGTCAGCAAGAAGTCAAAGGCATCTTTGAAACAATATTTCCTGGTAGTCACTTTCCGACTTGCCGGCCCAGCTTCCTGATCGGATTGAAGGGGAGACCACTTGAGCTAGACGGTTTTTCGTCTGCGCTTCACGTTGCATTTGAGTTCAATGGCCAGCAGCATTATGACCCGCTTTGTTTCTGGAACAAGGCAAAGCCTTCCGCATGTTTCTCGGAGCAGCAGTTGCGCGACAGGTTGAAGGTTGAAATGTGTAAAGCCTTTAATGTTCGCCTTGTCGTAGTGCCTTGGGATGCGAAAGACCGTTGGCTGTTCATCCGCTTATCCGTAATGGCTTCGCCCTCATCCCGCTGGCCACCCTCTCTTAAAATGGGACTTGCCAGAGCTGTGTTGGGATGTCTGGACGCTGACGTGAAGCAATGTCGGGACTTCACGCGAGGGCCAAAATTGATTTACGAAGTTTATGGCTTCGGTGGCGCGAAGATCATGTAATTTACAATGGCTTATGGCTTCGGGGACGCGAATATATCGCGGAATGTACAATGGTTTGTTACCTCGGGGACGCAAATATGGTGTCATGTACAAGGGTGTATGACCTCGGGGGCGCAAACATTGTATAATGTACAGAGGTTTACGGCCTCGGGGACGCGAAGATCGTGTAATTTGCGATGGTTTGTGGCCTCGGGGACGCAAGCATGGTGTAATTTGCGAGGGTTTATGGCCCAGGGGACGCGAATATTCAATCATTTTCGCAGGTTTATGGTTTCGGGGGCGCGAGTATTTGTCATTTACATGGGTTTATGGTCTCGGGGGTGCGAATATTAAGTCCTTTACGTGGCTTGGGACGCGAATGTCGCGCAATGTATGGAGGAATATGCCTTCGGAGACGCGAATATTGCATAATTTAAACCGGTCTGTAGTCTCGGAGACGCGAATATGGCGCAATTTACTAAAGATGATGGCCTCGGGGACGCGAATATCACGTATGCTTACGTGTCCCACGCCCCCCCAGGAGTTCAGACAACGCGATCAGGGCGTGGCAGAAAAGCTGGTTTGGGGCTCCCCCCCCTCGCGCGTTCAGCAACAATTGACGATAAGAAAGCAGAAAGCAGGACTGTAACAGTGGAAACTGGAAACTGCAACTGGAACAGGGAGCTGCAATCCTCATCCTCGCAGCCTGGTGGCCCCGCAAGGGGGCCGGCGGATCACTGCTACAGTGGTTTAGCGTTCGGGACGTCAATCCATCATCTTTGGCGTGACCCGCGACCGAAAAGAAACAGTCCCGGTACTATGTCCCAGCTGTCTGGAGGGTCAGGGGAGGGGCGAGGCAGAGCGCGGGAGGGCCACAGGGGAGGCCCCGTGGGCGGCAAGGCGAGAGGCAGTCTGCACCCGGCCGCCCCGGTGGCCGAGAGGTCGCCGAGCTGGTCTCCGCCGCCGTGAAGCTCAACTGCGGCGAGCCCGGCCGGGTCGGGCCGTGCCCTGCTGCACGCTGTCTCGGGGCGGCCGAGAGGGGGGTGCCGAATTGGTGGGGGGGGTACCATGGCCGGAGCCATGATGTCTTCCCAGATCGCATGGCCTCCTCTTCGTGTTTCAGCACGTCCCTTGCCCCCCCCCCCCCCTCCTGGGCCGCGTGGGTGCCTGGGCCACGAGTTGCGAGCCCCCCAGGGGACGTCCCCCTCTTGGTCGCCCCCGACTTTCAGCGGGCCCGAGCTCCCGAGGAGCGCGAGGGGGCCAGCGCGGAGTGGTAGACCCCGTCGCCACGGAGCACATTTCGATTCGAAATCGATCCTGTTCGATCTCGGCGTTCCAGCGATCCGATGCGGCACGATGCCTGCACGCCGAAGCTGCGTGACTGGGCGCAGCCGTTTCGCTTCGTTATCGATTTTGTGCAGCCCGATCGATGTTCGTTCCGCTTCGACCCGATTGCGCCATCCGATGCCGGCTGACCTTGCCCCGCCTTTTCGCCTTGCCCTTACATCTCCCGTGGCCCTCTCCATGCCCTCCCTTCCTCGCCCCATCCCGGTCTCCTGTGCTGCAGGCCTCCCAAGTAGGGCCAGCGCAGACGGGGTCGGAGGATCTGGCCACACTTGCGATGCATCGGCGGCGCCAGGGTGGAGGACGTCGGGCTCTAAGTCGCGCCGCGCCTCCGATGCACTGGCGATGTGTGGCCGTCGCCCGACCCTATTTACTCTGGACAGGGAGCCTCGGGACGGGGGGCGATGCGTGCGACTGGGGTGACGAGAGGGAGGGGTTGCGCTTGGAGTAACTGCAGAGACCCAAGCAGACAGCACTTGGCACGCTGACTTCGGTCCGGAACGTTTGCTTATTGTGTCGCACCGCCAGTTCTTGCCCACCACGCCTCGCCGCCACACGCTAACTTCATCCGAGTCCCGAAAGGGGCAGCGTCCCCAGCCTTTCCCAGCCTCCCGTCCCGCCAAACTAAGCGACCCGTCAGCTCGCAGGGCATAGCGGAATGTCTCGGCCTCTGCCTCGACGCGCTAAGCAAAGATCCCCTTCCGTAATTATTGGTTGTCACACGGCCACGGTCGCTCATGATTGAGCGATCCGCTCGGTGTCAGAAGCCGACCAGAAAGTCGTCACGCCACGAACCTGCTGCGCCGACTCCAAGAGGGCCCCTTCCGGTCTTCCGCGCGGAGCTTCCGCGGCTGAGCAGGGCAGGCGCCCCGGCTCTCGAGCCGCGGCCAGGACAGCGCGATGGTAGGCCCCCCTCGGCCCTCGGGGGCCCAAGCAGTGAACAGGGTCGCGGTGCGCTCTGGGTCCCCTGTGGCCCCAGACCCCCTCGGGCAATGAAAAAATCACGACGGGAGGTTTTTCAAAATTTTCGGCCTTTGGGGGCCCTTATCGGCCCTCGGGACCGTCAAAAAACAACTCAGGATGAAAAACCGGTCCAGGGAAAATGGTCGAGAACTCCAGGGGTCGACGTAATGACAAAATCATGACGTCGGGGGTCTGGGGCTCCAGAACATCATACTTCGCGGTGTTGGCTCCGCCTTGAGTTTTCGGAACTCCCAGACGCGCACGCGTGGTGAACAGCCGAACTGCTTGCTTCGGCGCCTGTGGGCCATTCCCGTCGTCCTCCCTCGCCACCGCTGCAGGCGATGAGAAGTTCTTCCACTTCGTGGGCGCCTTCTGCCGCGAGAGCCCGAGTGCTTTTGGCAGCCTCCGCGACGTAGCGCTGCTCTCGGCGTCGCTGCTCAAGCGGGTGTCCCCCCTCCTCCCCCGTTGCGTGCTTGCTCGTCGGAGTGCCACGAGTGCATAGTGGGATGGATCCGAGTAGCAACTCAGTAGAAGCCAAAGCAGTGACAACAATAGCACTCTAATTTGCACATGCGTAATTACATCTGGGCGTCCCCGATATAGAATATCAGCCAGTTGAAATCATAGTGGACTGCCGCGGTCGGCTTTTCGGCGGTCGCCTGTGCGAACAACACCGACGTCCAGAAAGTACACCCGCGTATGAGTACATGCATATATATATATATGTACACACGTACACCCATACATCTAGATATTTGTATATATTTATAAACATACAGAGGTCTACATGTACACACACATCGAACGCATGACCTACATGCATGTAAGCATGTGTGTACAAACTATGCGCGTAGAATGACAACCATAAGCATGTGCATATGTGAACATGTGTGTACGCATCTAGTATGTAACCTTAGCTTTGTTATCAATGACCGTATTTGAAGAAATCGCAATTGCAGCTGGCCAACGGTATTAGGTTATGCATTAGTAGGTGTAGTATGCCTTGTCGCGTTGGTGATAATGTTTGTACTAGCGGCAGTTGCAGTAGTACTACATGATCTTGCGGTGATAGCAGCAGTGCAGGAACCAGGCCGTAGTCTTGCTGTGGTCGACGTTTTGGGTGGGAGTCTGGGGGGACATCCTTCCACGCCTCTTTGGCTCAAGAGCACTGTCACCCTTCGGACCCGCAGGTCTGATTGGGGTCTTCCACTCGCGTGGTTTACATGATGGTATGTGCGCCGACGGGGGGCATCGCCCCATCTTGTCCAAAAGTAGCCCGCGGTCGTTGCCAGAGACGGATTGTTTTACGGTGGCCGTGCATCGTCGCCGTGGTCCCAATGTTGCCAGCGGTGCTCGTGCAGCTCCTGCCAGGCACCTTACCCAATGAGACGAGGGGGCTGCTTCGGAGGCTAGGGATGGGTTGAGGCTAGGGATGTTGAGGAGAAGGAGGAAGAGGACCAGAGTAGACCCAAGATGCATCAACGATGCTGCATCACAACCCTCCCGTCCCCTGGCTCCATTTCGAAAGAATCTACCCTACGTCCTCCTCCTCCTCCTCCTCCTCCTCCTCCTCCTGCTCCTCCTCCTCCTCCTCCTCCTCCTCCTCCTCCTCCTCCTCCTCCTCCTCCTCCTCCTCCTCCTCCTGCTCCTCCTCGGAGGAGGAGGCGGAAGAAGAGTAGGCAGCCTGCTTCAGTCTGATCACGCTGCTTCAGTCTTGAACGTTTTGAAAGGCGTCTGGCGCCTCGCTGCCGCGCCGTCGGTGGCACCGGGTAGGCGTCGGGCCCTGCTGCGGGCAGCAGGCCTCCGCCCCCCTTTTCCCCTCTAGAAGCGCTGGACCCCGCGGCGCCCCCCTTCCTGTTCCGCATGGCCTCCATCGCCTTGAGCATCAGTGCAGCGTCCCGCGGTGTCGCTCGAGGTTCGAGGTTTTCGGACGTCCCCTTACATTCTCCCATGGGTTTTCCAGTCTCGAGACGCGTTTCAGGAGCTGCGCCTCGTCGAGGGCGTTCCTGGGGTGCCCAAATTTGTCTTGAGGTGGACGCCAGGGGTCCATTATGTGGCCTGAAAATCCCAGCTCCTTGCGTGGTGAAGATTCGCGACGGAAGATGTGTCGCCATTTTCAGCCTCTCGGGGACTTTACGGGGCCCCGGGGCCGGCAAAGAACGATTCCGGAGGACAAGCTGGTCTCTGGAGAAGGGTCGACACCGCGGGCGTGTCCACGCTGAGGAGAAAAAACACACGACGTCGGAGGTCTGGTTCCCTGCGCTCGCTATCGTCGCATCCATCCGTCAGTTCTCCCTCAATGCGAACATCGGATGTCAGCGGGAGGTAGCGGAGGCGATCTCGTCTGTTCGCTGCCTGGCCAGGGCGGCGTCGAGCGTAACGCAGCAGTGGGAGGCCAGTACAGTCACCCTCTCTCTTTCCCTTCGCTCCTCGAAGCCCGCCTCATCATCCTTGCTCCTCCCTCTTCCCTCAGATTCTCCTCCAGCCTCGAGGTCTCTGTCCGCCTCGTGCCCTCCCTCCACAGACTTCCAACGTCGTGTGTTTTTGTTCACGTCGTAGACCCCCAGGGGCCTAGACCACTTCCCCTGGACCGGCTTGCATCCTGAGTCGTTTTGATGCCGGTCCTGGGGCCCTGCAAGCGGCCCCAGATCGAACATGGCAAAACATGATCCGTCGGGATTTAGTTCACGGCACGGAGGTCTGGGGTGTCTGCCTTTCCCCCTAGTTTTCAACACCTTGTCTACCACTTCTTCTCATGCAGTGCCAATGGGAGTCACCACTAGGGAGTTGCCAGCTCCTCCAGAGGATCGGGGTGTGAGTTTCTAGGGTCGATGAGTTTATTGGACGACCTTGTGCGTTTTGGAGGGCTCTGGGGAGGTTGGCGGTCAAGAGGTTTCCTCGTCCTCCTCCTCATGGACGAGGTGGCGACCTCCCATTGACCCCCTCTTGGCATAACCTGGGCTTCGCCCCTTGGCTTCGCCTTCTCTGCTCGGGTACACCTTCCCCCTCACCGCCACGCGAGCCGCCGTGAGGCGATCTCCCCCGTGCCCACCCAGGCCGGGCGCTTCATCTGCCATCCCGTTTGTAGCTCTATGGTCGCTCTGGTCTCGGGGGGGACCCCGCACCTCCTTGGCGTCGCGGAACAGCAAAGAAACAACAGACGGAGGTTTTTGCTCTTTTCGGCATCCGGGGCCCTTGTTGGACCCGGGGATCGCGAAACCGGATCAGGATGAGAAGTTGGTCCCGGAGAAGAGGTCGGTCGGGCCTTTTGGGGATCCACGTGACGAGCGTATCACGACGTCGGAGGTCGCGGGAGGAGGAGGAGGAGGAGGAGGAGGAGGAGGAGGAGGAGGAGGAGGAGGGGCATGAGCACGTGGAGATGGTGTAGGAGGAGGGGGAGGAGAGGAGGGGAGCAACACTAGGATGGGAAGGGAGAGAAAGAATCAGTACGAGCGCCACTGTGTTCCCTCGCTAAACAGCCTGTCTGTAACAGCTCAATGGGATTCTTCCTACGCCCGCTGAGAGATACCGGGCCCCCGAAATCGGTGGCCCACCGTGGCACCGTAGCCCCCATTTTGTGGTCCTCCAGGCCCCTCACCGTGAACCGTGCGAAGCTGGTTAAGGCCCCCTGTCGCAAGGATGGCGTTCCTGTTCGCTAGGGGGTTGCAGCGAGATGCTGGGTCGTGGCGCCAGGGGCTCTGCTGGCGCGCGAGGGGGGAAGCCCCGCAGAAAAGAAGAAACGCCTACGCCGCATCATTCTGAAAGAGAGCACACATGTTCGCCAACCTCGTGCCGTGTGTCGTTCGAGGTTCGGGTTTTCCTGACTTTTTTGTGCATTCCCTCGGGTTTTCCATTCGGTTGCTTTCCAGCAGCTGCGCCTCGACGAGAGCGTTCTGGGGGTGCCTAGGTCGTCTCGAATGGACGCCAGAGGCCCGATGCATAATCCGAAAAACCCACCTCGTAGCGTAGTGGAAACATCACGACGAAAGGTTTGTCGCCATTTTCGGCTTCTGGGGGGCCCTACCAGGCCCCAGGGCCGTCGAAGAGCAACTCGGGTTGAAAAGCTGGTCCCCGGGGACTTCTGCGGGTCGTGGCGAAAGAATTACGATTTCGGAGGGTTGGATACGTGGAGCGATGGGATATGGTAAATATGCGCCGCATTGAAGCGGCGGCCTCACAACGCGGGCGGTCAAGGTTGAACGCCGCCAGTAGACCAGAAGAGGATGACATCGAACGATCTGCGCTATCGGAAAGTTGCAAGCACACGGTGTCTTCTAGAATCGAACGCTGACGTGGCCACGACACGAACCTCGAGGCTCAGCGTTCAGCGGTGCTGTCTGGGGCGCGTGCTCCGCGAAAGAATCTGTGCATCCTGTATCCCCTCTGAGGAGTGCAAACAACTTATTAACTAATCAACGTGGCGTCGACGGCCTCTCAGCACTTTCGGGAGGATCTCGTGTCGTCGGGCGGCGGCCACGAAGCATGCATTGGCCTCCCCTCCTCCACGTGGCGTGGTCTGATTGGTCGGCGTTGGACTCTTCGGGAGAGCAAGGGGTCCTTGCATCAACCGCTCCGCACGCACGACCGCACCCGGGGGGCCAGCACTGGTGCCCCCAACGAGAGGCAACTCTTTGTCTGCTTGCGTTTCGCTCTTTCGCTGCTGTCTGGAGCAGTGTGGCATGGAGGGCCGACGGTGCTGTAGGTCATTGAGATGCCCCGGTCTGCTGGCACCAGCTGTGCGTCATGTGAAGCAGGTCAGAAAGGCTGTGGGCAGTCGCTGCTCCAGCTCTCACCAGCCGCAATTAGGTCCCTCCGCCTCCACCCCCGCAGACCTTCGGGCCGCCGGCCACTGGAGCTCTCGACTCCTTCCCCAGGACTTCTGTTGTTTCACCCCGCGCTGGCTTTGGATGGCCCTGGCCCCGGAGGCGGCCGAGCGCATGCGGCAAAAAGCCCCAGCGTTATTCTTCTGAGCCCACAGGTGTGAGTCTCGAGTGGTCTCCCGAGGCCTCCACAGGCTCCCTGTAGGGCCAGAAAGAGCTCCCCAACGTAAAGGCAGGTTCAGAAAACATGGGTCCTCGAACGCCAGCCGTCCACGGGGGGGCGTAGGAGATGGAGTTGGCCAATCGGGCCTCGATCGTCGATGCATGTGTCAAGTTCTGACCCCCTGATGCCCAACTGTATCCACATCCGCCGCCCCCTGGGGTCCAGGAAGACCGGCTCCCCGGGCGGTGGCCACGTGTAAGGAGGGGCGCGGGCACAAGACGCTCTTACGCGCCGCTTGCTGGCCACAGTTCCCAGGGCACCGCGCGTTGCCAGATCAGTCCTGGCGTTGGATGGCTACGGTCTCGAACTCGTGCTTGGCGTGTCGCGCCGCTGGTTCTGGCCACCACGCTCTTCGGCGCGACACGCTGACCATGTCCGGATCCCCAGGCACCAATGCCCTGATCTTGTCCCAGCCTCCCGCCGAGGCGCCGAGGCATCGCCGCCCAGCCCCTCGTGGGGCCGTCCCGTGGGACGAGTGGGCGCCGTTTCCGTGTCCGTCTACGTGTCCCGCCGCGAGGAGCGGAGCGGCACGCTGTGAGCTCGCAGGGCTGGGGCTGGCGCGCGCAGCTGGGGGCGGCCTCCCCACGGGCCCCCACGGGCATCTAAAAGTATCCTGTTTGCTGTGAGCACGTGCACATTCAGACACGTCCAACCTAGATCTTCTACGAGTAGCAATTTTCAAAAGTCCCCACCATCACGAGACATGTGACTCATCTATTTGTCTGTATAAGGCTTGTGATATATATCTATATATACATTTATACACATATATATGTGCATATATATATATATATAGATATATATATATATATATATATATATATATCCGTGTATATCTGTATAGATATACACACACATGTCAGACACAAAGCAAACAAAACAAGCCGCGGGATGTAAGTGACCTAGGGTAGCGCCTGGCCGCGGGCTTCGTAAGGCTTCTGGAGGCCTTAGGAAAGCCTCAGGTGGCTCAGAGAGGGCTAGCCAGAGAAGCTTTCGGAAGACTCGCCCCTCCAGGACCACGAGAGGATCGACCTGTGACCCCGCACTGGGGCACAACACGTTGTGTGGGTGATCGAACGAACAGCCGTATTTCATAAGCTCGTGGACAGAGGAAATTCCGCGCGAGTTAGCGCAGCGGGAACTATGCAGCGCACGTTCGTGGAGGGGGGGGGGAGGGGGGGAGGAGAAGGGAGGAGGGGAGAAAGGAACTGGACAGCATTGAAAAGTCTTACCTCCTGCCAGGGCGCACAGGCAATGCAGTTCTCACTCAGTGTGATTGTCATCTCTGCTGGCGGTTCTCTTGGTAAAAATTAGCACGGACGATCGCCACCGAAGTGGGTCCGCCACTGCATTCATGAAATACTCCGCGTTCGCGAAATAGAGGCTCACAAGTTTATGTGGTTCGGCTGCCTTCGCCTATTTGGGCCGCCCGCGCTTGCCCTCGCAAGCCCGCGTCGCAGGGAGGACTGCATCTGGCTTGGATTGTGCGGGCGCTGGCCAAAATATCGGTCGATGGAGATCACACTGGAGATGCTGCAGCCAGCGCGTCGGGGGAGAACGCGCCGAGATCGGCCGGTTTGGGGGGGCCTCAGGGGGGCGCCAAGCCCCCGTGTGTTCCCCGCCCTCGCCCTTGCGAACAGCGCGCCGTCGTCGAGAATTTAGGCCCGCGCGCACATGAACAGAACAGCACAGTCGGACCGAGGTATAAAATCGAGGTCGGTTCGGGGAGGGTGCCCTAGTGTTCTTCGTGTCTGCTGGATGCTCTCGTGCTTCCCTGGGAGGGTTCCCGAGGATGTTTTGTGTGTTGTGGCTGGCGGAGGGTCAGGATGCTCTTCTGTCTTAGGCCTGGCTTTAATCCCTCCCGGCCGCGCCCGCCGGCCGACAGGGAGACACCACCAGCGCCACGGAGGGCCCCAAGCTGGACTGCGCCAGCGCCTTCCACGGCCTGGCCGTCGCCGCGCTGCCGCACCTCCGCCGCTCCGACGCCGGCGAGGGCGCGCCCGCCCCACCGGCCGCCGCCGCTGCTGCGCCCGCGGCCTGGCCGCCGCCGCACCGCCGCACCGCCGCCGCTCCGGCGCCGGCGGGGCCCCCCCAAGCGATGTGGTGACCACACCGTCAAGCAGCGGCGGTGCGCCCTGGTTTGCCTATAGGCCTACCAAAACATATTCTGAGAACCTTTTGTGGTCTGCACAAACTTTTCTTAGAACAGTTCTTGCTCAGACTATCTCGTTTCAACACATCGCGCTTGTGTTCTAAGAACACTGCTTTTGTTCTTAGAACATTTCTGGGGTCTAAGAACCTGTCGTGGTAGGCCTGTAGGAATGCCGGGACGGTCGGTCCCTGCTCAACACCGAGTGGTGAGTCAGTCGGGGCTCGGGGTCACCGCACGGTTTTGGAGCTCGCGTCGTGATCCGAGGTTTGCTCGGGCGGCCGAAGGTCGCAATAGGCCGCGCGGTGGCGGACCGCGCGGTGAGGTCGTTGGGGGTTCCAAGGTCACCGCGCGGTCCGTCACCACACGGTTTTGGGACCCCCGAATCTCCGACGGGATGTTTCTTCTATTCCCCGCGTTTCTTTTAGATTTCGGCCGTCTGGGACCTCTGGCGGGACCAGGGTCGGGTATAGCCAGGATCCCGGGTAAGGGGACCCGCTTAGTGGTAGGGCCCCGGGGCCCCTCAATTGCCCAGATTCCATAAATCAGGTTTGCCGTAACTGGTGTTTTTCGGGCGACGGCAGTTCCGTTTAGTGGAAATGGGGCGGGGGGGCACACCCGGTACAAATCACTACTAAACCAGGTTCCACTAAACCCAGTTCTGCCAACGACAGGGGCCATCAAAAACGGATCCGGGACAAGAAGCCACCCCTGGGGAAGGGGTCGGGAGCTCTATGGGCTATGGGCTACACGTAGGAGTTACTTTTCGCCAGAGTGACCTTTGCTGCGGGCCCAATGGGGCTTCCCGATCGCTGCACGCTGAGCGGCAGCAGCGGCTCGTGTGCCCGGGCTTCGGCACCACGCGCCCCCGTTTCGCCGCGCACCAGAGGTCAGCCCTGCCTATGGGTCACTCTTGCGTGTAGCCGAGCTCCGGGGCGGCGGGTTGAACAAATCAGACCGTCGCGTGTCATGGGTTGGCCGCTGTGTGCCGGCCTGCGCCGGTGCGCTCGCTTGGGGGTCGCCGTCGAGGTCGTCGGCGTTGCCGCACCTCCTCGGCCGCCCCGGCGCCGGCGGCAGCGCGCCCGCCCCATGCACCGGTTCCTCTGCATCTTCGGGGGGCCGTTCCTCCTCTATACCCGCCCCTCGAGTCATGAAAAAATCGGAGGTTGATAGACCTCCTACCCTGACACGTCGATTAGCGAATTGGCCGTTTTCGGTTCGCGAGAGGGCGTCGCGGCCGTCATTTTTGTGGATCCAGGTCCGTCGGTTTCGGTCTTAGGCCGTTTTCATGAAAGGGTGGTCTACTAAAGGGAGTTTTGTCCACCGCCGGAAAAAATGCGACAGGAGGCCTTCCTCTATTGCGAAGGCCTTACGGCCGGTGCCGCCGACCCTGTTCGCAATGCGCAGCAAGAGGCACGGGCTGTGGGATGGTTTGGGGGAACGGGGAGAAGGACGAGAAGGTGGGGGAGGGAGGTGTCGTATCTGACCCGGGACTTCCCCGGGACTCCCCCGGGACCCCCCCCGGGACCCCCCCTCCCCCCCCCGTCGGGGAAGGGAAAGGGAAGGGGCTTCCCTTCGACTCAATTACGACGTTGCTCAAGGTCGGTACGGGGGGGGGGCGTCGTATCTGACCCGGGGGGGGGGTCGCTACCTCCCCCCGCTACCCCCCCCCCCCCTCCCGGCGGGGGAGGGATCAAAGGGAAGGGGCTTCCTTCGATTCAATTACGACGTTGCTCAAGGTCGGTACGGGGGGGGGCGTCGTATCTCGGGTGGGTCGTCGTATGGCTACCCAGGGGGGGCGTCGTATCTGGTCGCTACCCCCCCCCCCCTCCCGGCGGGGGAGGGATCAAAGGGAAGGGGCTTCCCTTCGACTCAATTACGAGGTTGCTCAAGGTCGGCTTGGCTGGAGCCCAGGGGAAGAGGAGTCCCAGGGGGGGGCGTCGTATCTGACCCGGGGGGGGGGTCGCTACCCCCCCCCCCTCCCGGCGGGGGAGGGATCAAAGGGAAGGGGCTTCCCTTCGACTCAATTACGAGGTTGCTCAAGGTCGGCTTGGCTGGAGCCCAGGGGAAGAGGAGTCCCAGGGGGGGGCGTCGTATCTGACCCGGGGGGGGGTCGCTACCCCCCCCCCTCCCGGCGGGGGAGGGATCAAAGGGAAGGGGCTTCCCTTCGACTCAATTACGAGGTTGCTCAAGGTCGGCTTGGCTTGCTCAAGGTCGGCTTGGCTGGAGCCCAGGGGAAGAGGAGTCCCAGGGGGGGGCGTCGTATCTGACCCGGGGGGGGGGTCGCTACCCCCCCCCCCTCCCGGCGGGGGAGGGATCAAAGGGAAGGGGCTTCCCTTCGACTCAATTACGAGGTTGCTCAAGGTCGGCTTGGCTGGAGCCCAGGGGAAGAGGAGTCCCAGGGGGGGGCGTCGTATCTGACCCGGGGGGGGGTCGCTACCCCCCCCCCCTCCCGGCGGGGGAGGGATCAAAGGGAAGGGGCTTCCCTTCGACTCTTCGACTCAAATTACGGTTGCTCAAGGTCGGCTTGGCTGGAGCCCAGGGGAAGAGGAGTCCCAGGGGGGCGTCGTATCTCGGGGGGGGGTGGATCTGGGCGTCAGGGGAAGAAGGAGTCCCAGGGGGGGGCGTCGTATCTGACCCGGGGGGGGGGTCGCTACCCCCCCCCCCTCCCGGCGGGGGAGGGATCAAAGGGAAGGGGCTTCCCTTCGACTCAATTACGAGGTTGCTCAAGGTCGGCTTGGCTGGAGCCCAGGGGAAGAGGTCTCCCAGGGAAAGGGAAGGACAGAGACGACGAGTACAAAGAACGACGGAGATGACGGCTCGAACGGAAAAGCCCCTCACACACGCCGACAGGGTCGGCGGATTTCGTAACTGTCGGGTTCGAATTCGAGGGGGTGGTTCCGCCCGAGACTTGGGCAAAACAATGCTTCAACAGATCATTGTGCTGGGGCCCCGCGGCCTAACGGGCCCTTTTGACGTCTCCTCTCTTGTCGCGGGCGCAGCGCGTTGTGCCTGAGCCCCGTCGCCTAACGGGAGGCGCCGCATTTTGCCCGAACCTTCGCAGCGGCGAAGTAGGCAGAGGGGGAGATGCATCGATCACTCATCGCTCATTGATCGCCGATGGAAGCCCAATAGCCCCAACCTGCCTGGAAACATATCGGGGGCTTATCGCCTATCGCCGATCTATCGACGATGTATCGCCGATTCTAGGTTGATGTTCCCCCTCTTTATGCTAACACGAAGCTTTGTTATTCGGGCCGTTCCGAGGAGGAGGAGGAGGAGGAGGAGGAGGAGAAGGAGAAAGAGGAGGAGGAAGAGAAGGAGGAAGCGGAGGAGGAGAAGGAGGAGGAGGAGGAGGAGGAGGAGAAGGAGGAGGAGGAGGAGACGGAAGAGGAGGAGGAGGAGGAGGTGAAGAAGGAGGAGGAGGAGGAGGAGAATGAGGAGGAGGAAGAGGAGGAGGAGGAGGAGGAGGAGGAGGAAGAGGAGGAGGAGGAGGAGGAGGAGGAGGAGGTGGCCGTCGTTTTCGCCTCTCGGGGCCTCCTGGGAAGCCCTCGGCTCCACGGCTGAATCGGGCGCGAAACCTTCTAGTCAGAAGGCAAATTGGGAGAGGTCCGGGGAGAAGGTTCATGCGGCGTTGGCGCACTGGCGACGCCAGCGCAGGCGGCTCAGGTTGAATTCTGCGACGCGGAAGCACCGAGGGACACGGTGCCGCCACTGGACCCGACGTAATTCAACCTTGAACGATCGGGACCGCGACCGGTTCAAGGTTGAAAGGTCGACGCGGTGTGAAAAACCTGTGCGCGCGCCGACGTTGCGTGAACCTACAGACGGACTGAAGTATACGATCGAGGTCGGTTCGGGGAGGGTACCCTCATGTCTTGCGTGCGCCCTGGGGAGGGTCTCATGTTCTTGAAGGATGTTCTTCTGGCCTAGGTCCGGCTGCACCGTAGCGGTATTGGTATCTTTGGGTTCCCCCTCCTCCTCTGCCCCTTGTCTGCTATCTGCCGCCGCCCGCCCGCCTGCCTTGGGGCACGCGCGCGCGGTGCCCTCTGCGCTTGCCGATGGCGATCGCCATGGCAGGAGCGCCGCACTGCCGGACTGGTCGGGGGAGACCTGGCAAAAGACGGGAGCCCACGACTTCCCAGGCCACCCCCGCCCAGCCCGAAGGTTCCAGACCCCCCCCCCCCACACATGTCGGGTTGGTTCGGGGGTAACAAGGTGGTACTCTGTGCTTCTCGATGCTCCAGAGCGTCCCCCCGCTGGAGCCTCGCAGGCCCAACGGCGGCTTCGGGTTGGGTTTGGGGGGGCGTGGTGGGTAGTTACGGGGGAAGTGGGAAGGCATTGACCTGCACCTTCCGCACCTTTCGGGCGGAAGATGCAGCCGCGATGCGGCTGCGGCGTCCGCGGCGGCCGCATCGCGGTCGGTACGGGGGGGGCATCGTATCTGACCCGGGGGGGGGGTCGCTACCCCCCCCCCCTCCCGGCGGGGAAGGGATCAAAGGGAAGGGGCTTCCCTTCGACTGAATTACGACGTTGCTCAAGGTCGGCTTGGCTCGAGCGGCTCGGGCGCGGCTCGGGCGGCTGGGGCGCAGGACAGAGACGACGAGTACAAAGAATAACGGAGATGACGGCTCGAACGGAAAAGCCCCTCACACACGCCGACAGACCAGGGGGGGGTCGATACCCCCCCCCCCCTCCCGGCGGGGAAGGGATCAAAGGGAAGGGGCTTCCCTTCGACTGAATTACGACGTTGCTCAAGGTCGGTACGGGGGGGGGGGGGGCGTCGCATCTGACCCGGGGGGGGGGGTCGATACCCCCCCCCCCCTCCCGGCGGGGAAGGGATCAAAGGGAAGGGGCTTCCCTTCGACTGAATGACGACGTTGCTCAAGGTCGGTACGGGGAGGGGGCGTCGTATCTGACCCGGGGGGGGGGTCGATACCCCCCCCCCCTCCCGGCGGGGAAGGGAAAGGGAAGGGGCTTCCCTTCGACTGAGTTACGACGTTGCTCAAGGTCGGCTTGGCTCGAGCGGCTCGGGCGCGGCTCGGGCGGCTGGGGCGCAGGACAGAGACGACGAGTACAAAGAATAACGGAGATGACGGCTCGAACGGAAAAGCCCCTCACACACGCCGACAGGGTCGGCGGATTTTCGAACTCGGGGAGTCCTCACCAGGCCTCGGGACCGTCGGACAAAACCACTCAGGACGAAGAACCTGTCCGGGGGAAGGGGCCCAGGCCGCCGGGGGTCGACGTCGTGAAAACATCATGACGTCGGGGGTCTGGGTAAATGGCGGTCTCTTCTTTTGCTCCGACGTGTGTTCGACGCGGATTCGACGTGACTTCGACGTGGTTTCTAGACGGATCCGACGTCTCATCAGAACGTATTCGACGCATTCGACATGGATCCGATATGGATGCGACACGGATGGTTGCCGCGATGGGACAGGCAAGGTCCTCCAAAGATGTAACGTCACGCTGGGTGCCGGTCCGCGCTGGCCTGCGCCTGGCCGTCGACGTCGTCCGCTCGGCAGTGAAGATCGGAGGGCATCAGCTCTACACCTACACCGATCATGGTCGTGCCGATGCTGGACCCAAAATCGGTGTACAGTCAAGGCGCTGAGACAAATGCATCATCGGGCTCAGGATTAGCTCGGGTTTTCAGCCCGTTCCCTGGATATAGGTCGGGGGCTCGATTCGAAGCCGAGGCTGGCCGTGGCCAGAACGGCCCCTGCGTCGCTCATTTGGCGTTCCTTGTCCTAGCACGATGGCCGCGCAAATATGCCTGCCAGCCCAAGCCAGGAGGGCATAGACACCGACCCTGGGCCCGGGACGAGCCTGGCCGGGACCACTGCTGGCGTACAGTTGGCGCCCTCTGATCAAGACCCAGACCTCCGACGTCGTGATTTGTTTCGTAACGTGGGCCCCTGGCGCGGCGTGGCACAGGTCGAGCGCTTAGCTCCGTATTCAATGCGGTATAGATGTTCAACGGCTCTCCGTGGTTTACGTCCAATGTTTAATTTGTGTGCTGGTTGCAGCTAGTGTGTGTTCTGTTTGTTTGTGTGCCGGTCCAGTGTTGTTCTCTTGTTTTCCCCATGTGCTATGTTTTTCATGTGTCTGCTGCTGTTTGCGTCTTCTGTTTCGACCACGTTCCCACTGACCGCCTTACCATCCTGGGTCCTCCCCTTGACAGGCCGAAGATGACAACGCAAAAACCTTCCGTTGTGATTTTTAGAAGACGCGAGGAGGTCAGGAGGAAAGGGTTCCTGGGGGAAAAGAGGCCCTGGAGGCTGGAACGCTGCTTTCGGCCTCCCAGGGTCCTCCCGGGGATCCCTGGGTCGTTCGGAAGCAACGTGCGAGGTAGGGCCAGGGTCTGGGGAAGCCCCTGGGTCCGGGGCCCTTTTTTCTCAGGACCCCCTCTACCCTCATGCTGATGGTCGTTGGCTTGGTTGTTGTGTGCTGCGTCGCCTTTGCCGGTCCTCGACGTCGCCCGCCCGCGTCCGCCGCCGGTCTGTGGTCGCCTGAGCTGGGGCGATCATTGGCCTGGATTGCCCTCGTCGATGCCGACGTCGTTGTTCGCGTCCTGCTCGCGCTCCCTCCGTATTTTCCACAACCTTTATTTCGACTTCCAGCTGTTTTTCCGTTTTGTCTGCCTCTCGTCGTCCTTCCACATGATCTTCTTTTGATCTTGCTCGCGGCTTCTCGAAATCCCACCGAAGGCATCCTTCAGGCCTCCCATTGACCATTGACCATCGATGACCATTCTAGCTATTCTAGCTTCCAGCCTGGGGTGGTACGCCATACCTAGACCGTCCACCGGTTGATACGGCCGTTGGGATAGGGGATCAGGGCAGCGGTTTGCAATTGTCCTCGCGTCTGGTCGGCAACGAAGATGTTTTACTTACAAGCTCTGATCATTCTTATGCGTAATTCGACAAATCCTGTGCAGTTGCTCTAACCCGCCACCGTTGTAACCGATCTAACTCTGCACCTTAGTTTAAACATGTTTTTGAGTGGACGATCTGTTACAACTCCACGAACACTCCTACCTCTTATCTAAAGTAGCCTTTAGACTTCGTCAAACTATGCTAGATATGTTGGCCCTTCCAATTCTCCCACTTCTTGGCTCTTATAATATTATCGCCGCATTGCCGCAACTCTGTAAAGTCTTACAACTACTCTAGCCACTCTATTTCCTGTGCCTCTTTTTGAGCTATTCTCTCACACTGAAATCTTTGACGATGCGATTACCAGCGTTAGCCTCATCCAGATCAGCAACGTCTTAGCACAAAGGGTCGGGTTCTCGTGGTGGGCAGCGGCCAGCAGATCGCAACAGTCAGGGCAAGCTGGATCTGGAACCGTACGGGCGGCGTCCAGGAGATGGCAACGGCCAGGGCAAGCGGGCGTTAAGCGGCGGCCAGGAGTTCGCAACAGCCAGGGGCCCGCGGAACGCAGAACCGAACGGGCGGCGCCAGGACATCGCCTCAGCCAGGGCATTGGGGACCCAGGACGGCGTCGACAAGGAGATCGCAACAGCCAGGGCAAGCGGCACCCAGGGCCGTACGGTCGGCGACCAGGAGGTCGCAACAGCCACGGCAAACAACGCCGAGGGAACACGTCACGTCCCTCACTCCCACCTTCTCGGCAACCTTTCCCGCACCCCGGCCACCAGAAGCAGCCTCTCCCGACCCCTCCCGGACACCATCCCTGCGAGTTTTTGCCAGCCGTGGCCCAGAAAGACATTAAAAATTGGGGGGCAGCAGCTGATCATAGAGAGCACCGTCCCTCGGACTGCCCCCGCCGAGGCCACCTCTGCGTGCGCGACGTGGCGGAGTTCCTCTACGCCCTCGCGCACGTGCTGGACCGCAAGTGGGCGGACAGCAGCGAGCCGCTGTACCAGTGCGCGGTCTGCAGCGAGGCCCCTCGCGAGCGGCGAGCGAGTGCCGCAGGGCCCTCCGCTGCTCGGGCGCGCCCGAGGTGACCCTGGCCCACGCGCGCCCTTCGAGGACAGTGTGTGTGTGTGTCTCGACGTTTGGGGCGCCCTTCGGGGGCGGGGGGATCCCGTGCGGAGACTTCGGGAGACGTCCGGAGAGCTCCGGAGGCCTCCAAGGCCGGCCTTTGGTCAATCAGGCCCAGGATCGGGACGTACTGTATCGTTCCAGAACGCTCCAGAACGCTCAGAGCGTTCGCTCTGGAACGGCCGCGGCGCCCGTTGAATTCTTAAGTTCCGCTGTGTTTTGAAGATCCCCGATGATCCCAATCCGACGTTGTGTTGGTCCTGGCTTCCTTGTATGGCCCTTGCCCCAGGTGGCCCCAGGTTCGAAGGAGTGTTTCCAGGCCCGAGGGCCCCAGCGGCTCAGTGAGCAAAAAGCTGGGGGCGGCAATACGGCCAGGATCAATTCTGGCAGCTTCGGAACTGAGAGTATAAGCGCGAGGAGGAAGGAGGTGGATATTGGAGAAGGTTAGCTTTTGACATTGCTTGGCTTCGGTGGGAGGGGGCTCCTCGTTTCCACGGGTGGGCGCAGCTCGAACAAATTGTCAGGGCGGCGTCCAGGAGGATTGCAGTGTGTGACTTGGAGCCGCCCCAGATCTCCAGACTCGGATTTGTTTTTGTGTGCTTTGCTTCAAAGCACGTGCCTTCTATACATATGTATACATATATAGAACCCTTGCAGGTAAGCTGTTTATGGAAAGCAGCATTGGCCGTTGTGGTTCTTTGCAGGCTCGTTTCTGTTCCCAGGCCCCATGGCCCAGAGCCGTTCAACAGTAGCCCACGACGAACAAGCGGTCTCAGGAATGGGGCCTAGAGCTCTGGGGCCCACGTCGTTAACGCATACGACGTCGCCGTTGTGGGAACGTTGAACGCCCGCGGCCCTCGATAAGAATGAGTCACTTTCATGCTAGCCCCTGCCAGCTTCTTGAGTTCCGCCACAGAAGGTTGAGCACGAGCATCGAATGTAGGCCAATCAGGAGACTCAGTTTCTTGAGCCAGGGTTGAACCATCCACGAGCTGGTGCGTAGTAAGGGGACAGGGTGAGACACAGGATGATGAGACATACAACGATGTGCAACACGAGGATGAGGGATAGACAGCAGGGAGGAGGAAGTGAATGAGCACGGGAGGTAGGAGCGCTCGTGTGAGAGAGGCGCCGTAAACGCAGGCGCGCTCGCTTTTAAACCTACGAGTCTCCCCGACGTCGAGCTATGCAGGACGAAGACGAGTACATTCGGAGGAGGGCAGGAGGAGCACGCCATGTGCTTTCAAGACAACACCGTTCGAACACGTGATCTTCGAAGCGTTGGTGACGTGCAGCTAGCCGCTTCGATGTTGCACGAGCAGTTTGCATCGTCAACGGTGGGCGCCATGTGCCCACAAAGCGTCGGAGCACCCGTCTGCTCTGGCCCGTCAGCTACTTGGAGTCCGCTCCGGAGAAGCCGATCGGCTATGGTCTCTCGTCGGCCGAGAGGCGACGAACGTGGGTCCCTGTAGGTCCATCCCCTCCCCTGGGACCAGCTTTTCCTCCCACGAGGCCTTTTCGGTGGTCTTGCGGCCTGGTAGTGGTCCCCAGGGGCAGGAAATTCATGGAAACACTGGCGTGCGTTTGTGCGCGATGTGATGATGTCTGGGAGATGATCGAATCGATGAAGACGGCGGCGATGCGATGATCGTGCCGAAGGGATAATTGGCGGCCTGCCGATGTCCAGTGGAGTGTGTGGCCACGGCGTCCCAGTCCTCCGGCTGCTCGGTGCTTTCGAGTCGCCGGCCCTGGATCGGGAAGAGGAGGAGGAGGAGGAGGAGGAGCTTTGTACTTCTTCGCGCGAGGTGCCAGTGATTTCCCAGGGTTTCGGTTTGCCTCGTCGGGCAGCGTGTAGGAAGCCTCCGAACCGAAAGGTTCGACAGCAGGGGCGCAGAGATAACCCTCGATTCGTGTCCTCAGCCGTTGAATTTTGCTTCGGGGGCCTGCGCCCAGAGCGCAACAAAAAGTGCCGCCCTGCGTGTCGCGCGGCGCGCAGCGCGCAGTCAAGCGGGCGATCTGGGCTGGCGTATGCAGTGGGGAAGATGGGTGCGGCGATAATCCCCCCCCGTTCTCCTTCCCCTCCCACTCCTTTCGATGGTCCTGAGGACGCGTGTTGTCTACACCGTTCAGTTGCACCAGAAGCATGCACCCTGTGTTGCCCTCGTGATACCGCTGTCGTCGTGTTGAAACGGTGGACAATCACGCGTTGGAGCCAACACACGTTCTGAGGATCATCGATCTCTCCCTTCCCCCGCCCCTCCTCCTGCCCCCGGCACGCGCGGGGGCAGAGGCCGGAAGGAGGAGGCGAGGCAGAGGGGAGGCGGGCGAGGAGGGAGGAGGGAGGAGGGGGAGAGCCTCGCCCTCGCCGTCCCCCTTCTCCCTCTCAAGGCAACTTGCTCTTCCCTCGAAGAAGAAAAAACATACACATAAACTTTGGGCGCTCCGCGCAGATGTCTTGTATCCGCGCATGGAGCCAAGAAATCCGCGAAGAGCGCAAAAAACATGTTTTTGTTGTTCCTTCTCTTCCTCAGCGGCGAGCCAGGGGGGGAAGTGAGAAGGAGAAGACCTTCGCAGAAGGCTCGGAAGGCCTCATCCTCCTCCTCTTCCTCCACCTGCTCCTCCTCGTCCTCCTCCTCCTTCTATTTTGTTCCCGCGCCCTGGGCGTCCTGTGGTGGTGGCGGCCCTCCGGCAGAGAGGCCATCTCCGCCTCTGTGACCGTGGCGCGCCGGTGCCTCCACCACGCGGCGCCCACAGCCGCCCCAGGGAGCCGGCGGTCGGGCCGCGATCGCAGGATGGCAGTGATGGGCCTGTTTTCCTCCACCACCACCACCATAAGGGGGAAAGGAGGCGGAGGAGGAGGCGGAGGAGGAGGAGGAAGAAGAAGGGAGGAGGAGGAAGGAAGGAGGAGGAGGAGGAGGAGGAGGAGGAGGAGGAGGAGGAGGGAGGAGGAGGAGGAGGAGGAGGAGGAGGAGGAGGAGGAGGGGAGGAGGAGGAGGAGGAGGAGGAGGAGGAGGAGGAGGAGGAGGAGGAGGAGGAGGAGGAGGAGGAGGAGGACCCCGTCACCCCCTTCGAACTTATGGTGGTGGTGGTGGAAAACAAGCCCATCATGCAGGGCTCATCTTTGTCCTCCTCCTCCTCTCCGCCGCCGATCGCCTGATGGCGGGGCTCATCTTTGTTTATGTCGGGCGTGTCCTTCTACAGGGGGGACATTCAAAAACAGTCAAAAACTAGTATGGGGACGATCTTTCCATTATTTTTGGCCATTTTCGGAGTATCATTTCAAGTATTTTTTTATTCGAAGGAGGACAGGCCCGACTTACATCTTTGTCCTCCTCCTCTCCTCGGCGGCGAGCCGGGGGGGGAAGTGAGAAAGAGAAGGCCCTCGCAGAAGGCTCAGAATCGAAGAAGAAAAACACATAAACACAAACTTTTGGCGCTCCGCGCGGATTTCTTGGATCCGCGCTTGGGCCCCCCCCCCCCGCGGCGCCTCCGGCGCCGCCCCTGGCGGATCCAAGAAATCCGCGCGGAGCGCCAAAAGTTTGTGCTTATGTGGTTGTTTCTTCTTCTACGGAAGGCCCCCGGCCTTCTGAGTCCCCCGAGACGCAGAGAACTTCTCCGAGGGCGCGAGGGCTTCGAGAAGCGCCGCCGCCTTCTGGACAGGCCTTGTGTCCTCCACCTCCCCTCCGCCTGATGTCCTCCTCGGCCTCGCTGGTCATCTGGATGGCCAGTCAGCGCACTGGGGAAACATCGTGCAGTCGCTGCTGCTGCTGCTGCTGGTGCTGCTGCTGCTGCTGCTCTTCTCCTCGTTACGCTTATCCTCCTCCTCTTCCTCCTCCTCCTCCTCCTCCTCCTCCTCCTCCTCCTCCTCCTCCTTCTCCTCTTCCTGATGCTCATGGTGGTCGTGGTGCTCATGCTTCGCCTCGTCCCGCCGCTCCTGCTGCAGCTGCAACTCCTTCTTCCCCTCCGCAGCCACTGCTCTGGGTTGAGATGCGCCCTGCTGCCAGTGGGGGCCCATATCGCCGCAGGCTGGTGCCGTCTGAAAGATGTTGCCCTCGATCGCCCTGAGCTCAGGCTCGCAGCAGCAACTGTGAAAAGGGTTGCCCTGGGCGAGCGCCAGCGGAAGGCCGACAGAAGCCGGCGTAAGTAAAACGGGGTTGGCTCTGCTTGCGCAAGGCTGCGGACGTAGAATTGAGACGTCAACCTTGTGGGGTTCAGGGATTCTGGTACGAACCACGCACTCAGAAATCACAACGTCGACGAGCTGAGACAGTTGCCTGCCTCGGCACATACGGCCATCGCACCAACGTATCGTCGAAGTGCACGTGGGATGGTCCCTCTCCGAGCTGCTCCGTCCAGGCTCGTTGCATTGGATTTACGCTGCGCGGCCCTACACACTGCACGACTGCTGGAATGCGCATTTGAGGATTGTTCGGAAGCGTCTTGGCTTGCTGGGAACTTGGGGCTGTCTTGGGCGTACCGAGCTCTCCCGAAGAGGCTCGGTTTCATCATATCGGAGCTGTCTGTTCGGGTGTGTCGGGCATGGTTGGAGCCCTTGTGGGGCGGCGGTCTCAGGCCCTCCTGGGGCCAACCCAAGCCAGCCGCGCAGGCTTCTTAGCTGCTGTCGACGTCTGCAGGCAACGAACGCCTCCGTCTCCGAGCTCTGCAGCGGCTGCCCCCTCTGTCCCCTTCTTCCCCCGCTGCTGCGTGAGAGCTTGCGTCAGTGAGCAGATGCCTCATGCTGTGTGGCGCACCGCGTCGTTGCCGTTCTGGGCGGAAAGTGTGCGGGCAGCCTGCAGACGCCCAATTCTCGTTTTGGGCCAGCTCCAGTTTGGAAGCAGACACCCGCTGTCAGAAAGCGTGCTCGGCCCTTGCGGGCAGCACATTGGAGTCCAGCGGTGGTCGACCTGGGTGTCGCTTCCTGGCGCAACTCATGATACCAAGGATGTTGCGACACCACCATCGATCTCTCTCGACGCGCTCGGGTCATGGAGCACGGGCGATGTCTATCGATGTCGCGACGCGGAAGTGTTGCAACGGTGGTCTCATGGTTCGCAGGGTGATCAACCGCTCGCGCAGCTAACGGGGACGAAGCCGCCGAAGGGGCGGAGGCTGCGGCGAGGAGGCGGCTGGAGAAACACGGCGAGCTCGTCGATCCAGGCTCCATGGGCGAGTTACGATGGCTCCGCTGTGTGGGCGGCAAGCGGCGGGTCTGTCCAGGGGGCGACGAGATTGTGCGGGGTCATGTAGCACTTCGGCGCCCACTGGCCGACGACATGGAGCCCACCGTGGTAGCTTTTCTCTCAGCTGGTTGTGTTTTTTTTCGGTTGCGGAACACTGCAGATTTTTACGCTGGAAGAGGCGGCACAGCTCCCCATGCTGGACCCCCACGCTTTCCTCCCACAACTTGGGCCGCGAACCATAGCGATGCGCGACAAAATCGTGTTGTAGACTGTCGCCGCCAACCCAGTATACGGCTGCTTTGCGAGGATACCCCGTGCGAGACGCATCCATGGGATCGGGATGGCGTATATATATATATATATATATATATATATATATGGGTTCGCGCCTCGGTGCCCAGGTCTCGAGGGCATGGATGTGGACATGTGCGTCGTTCGTGATCGACTCCACTCGCTCAAGTGCGCCCGTGTCCAGGCCCACTCAAGTTTCAATCCCAGGCAGCGTATGCGGACTGCACCAGGTCTGCGATATTTTTGCATGTCCTCTGCAAGCAATCACAGTATTGACAAATTGAGTCACGAGCATGCGAAATGTGACATTCTACGATAAGCAGGCTCTCCTGTTCCCCGAAAGGTTCGCGGCCAGAAGGCGCCCTGCCACCAGTGCATTCCTGATACCTCATTGATGTGGACGCTAGCTCTTGACTCAGCCGTGTCGTAATCCCCCAATCGCTGCCACGCCCGTGAATCCGACAACCCGCGCCGCCCCCCATCCCCAGGACCCCCGTTGGATTCGACCGGCAGCTCCACCCATCCCCATATTTCCCCTGCAAGAAGCAGCGCGTGACACTGCTCAGTGGCCTTCGGCCTTCCGGCCGTCTCCCCCCTTCTCCATCTTACTCCGTCTCCTCTCCCTCCGCCTCTCGCCCTCTCTCGCCGAGGCCTCTCCCCAGGACATCGCGAAGCTGACGGGGGCCGTCGCGACGGCGCGCCCCGCCCTGCGCGCGGCCCTGCGGCCGCGCAGGGCCCGCCTGCGTCGGGGTCGTCGGTCGTCCTGGCCTGTGGTCCTCGTCCGTCGTCCGCGCCCGTCGTCCGTCGCTCGTGCGCCGGTCGTGTCGTGTGTCGGGACTCTGCCACGGGGGCTCCTCCCTCCAGCCTGCAGAGCAGGTGTCCGAGGCGGAAATTCATACATGACCACCGCCTGGAGGGTAAGTTTTCGGAGCCTCGGCAGGCGGTGGGTATGGACATATTCGGGCCCCCAGGGGCCGAGATATATCCATATCCACCGCCCGCTGGGGCACCAGGACGTCCGTTCCCAGGCGGTGGATGTGGATAAACCCCCGCCTCGCCAGGCGTCGAGGTCCGTGTCGCCGCGGCAGCACCCGTCGGTGCCGTCGCCACTGGCGCCGCCGCCGGCGTCGTCGACGAGGGTTGGCGGGGGGCCCCGGGGGCTCCCCGCGCCGTGCGACAACATCACGACGGAGGAATCGGCTCCCGGGGGCGCCCACCAGGCCCTGGGGGTTGCCAGCACGCCCCCCCTCTGGCAGGGGTTGGGACCTCCGGCCACTCCCTCCCGACGGCGCCTCTGTGTCATGATGTGGCCCCCAGGGGATCGCGACCTCTTCCCAGGGGTTCGGCTTTCCATCGTGAGTGGTTCGTGTCGTATCGGTCTCGGGTCCCGCGGCCCAGAGAAGGGCCCGCCTCCAGAGGCTGAGAATGACACAGTTTCTCGTCGGGCCTTCGTCACGCCGCGTAGATGCTAGGGGGGAACGGTGCCTCACAACGTCGGAGGTCCAGGAGAAGGAGAAGGAGGGAACGAGGGCGTTGATATTGTGGATGAGCCCGCCCCACAGCTGATGCTCCAGGACATGGGGAAGGGGGGCGAGGAGAAGGACGACGAGTAGAAGGTTGATGATGAGAAGGACGAGCAGGGAGAGCATGTGGCATCGGGAAGAGAGAGGAGGAGAAGGATGATGAGGACGAGGATGTGAAGGAGGACAGATGGGGGGAATGAGGAGGAGGAGGAGGTGGAGGAGGAGGAGGAACATGAGGAAGAGCGCGTTCTGCGGGCGCTTGGAGGGGGGGGGGTGGAACCTGACCCTCCCCCTGGATTGAAGGGGTGAGGGGAAATTGAACACGCACCCCACCCCTCTCCGTGGGCTTCACCCCCCCCCATGCTCTCCTCTCCTCCCCTACTTCTCCATTCTCCTTTCCGGGCCGGCGCCAGCGTCGGCGGCGGCTGGCGGCGGCGGGAGGCGTCGATGAAGACGATGGCTTCCTTTTCTTGGCCGGCGCCGGCGCCTGCGGCGGCTGGCGGCGGCGGCGGGGAGCGTCGACAATGACGACGGCGACGACGATGACGACGACGACGGCTACAACGACGACGACGACGACGCTCCGCCACCGTGCCTTGGTTTTGGGTCAGAGTCCTTTTGGATGCCTCTTGGGGTCTCGTCGGAGGGCTCTCGGGGGCCTTTGAAGAGCATTTGTGAAGCCTCCTGGGCGCCTCTTGGGCGTCACTTGAGGCCTCTCTGCGGTGGTGGTGGTGGTGGTGGTGGTGGGCTGTGGTGGTGGTGGTGATGGTTGTGGCGGTGGTGGTGGTGGTTGTGTGGTGGTGGTTGGTGGTGGTGGTCGTAGTTGTGGTGGTCGTGGTGGTAGGTTGTGGTGGTTATGGCGGTGGTGGTGGTGGTGTGGTGGTTTCTGGTGGTGGTGCCTGTTGTGGTGGCGTTGGGTTGTGGTTTTGGTGGTGGTGGTGGTGGCGGTGGTGGTGTGGTGGTTTGTGGTGGTGGTTGAAGGGGTGGTCGTGGTGGCAGGTTGTGGTGGTGGTGGTGGCGGTGGTGGTGGTGGTGCGGTGGTTTCTGGTGGTGGTGCTGGTGGTAGTTGTGGTAGTGGTGGGTTATGGTGGTGGTGGTCGTGGTGGTGGTGGCGTTGATGGTGGTTGTGGTGGTGGTGGTGGTGTGGTGGTGGACTGTGGTGATACTGGTGGTTGTGGTTGTTTGTGGTGGTGGTGGTTGTGGTGGTGCTGTAGTGACGTTTGGTAGTGGTGGTGGTTGTGGTGTTGGTGGTCGTGGTGGCGGTGGTGGTGGTGGTTGTGGTGTGATGCTTTTTGGTTGTGGTGGCGGCGGGGTGATAGTGGTGGTGGGTTGTGGAGGTGGTGCTGGTGGTGGTGGTGGTGCTGATGGTGTGGTGGTTTGTGGTGGTGGTGGTGGTGATAGGTTGTTCTGGTGGTGAGGTGGCGGTCGTGGCGGTGGCAGTGGTGGTGGTGCTGGTGGTGGTTTGCGGTGGTGGTGGTGATGGTAGTGGTGGTTGTGTGGAGGTTCGTTGTGGTGTTGGTGGTGGTTTGTGGTGGTGGTGGGTGGTGGTAGTGGGTTGTGCTGCTGGTAGTGGTGGTGGTGGTTATGGCGGTGGTGGTGGTGGTGTGGTGGTTTGTGGTGGTGGTGGTGGTGGTAGTGGTGGTGGGTTGTTGTGGTGGTGGTGGTGGTGGCTGTGGAAGTGGTGGTGGTTGCGTGGTGGTTTGTGGTGGTGGTGGTGATGGTGGATTGTGGTGGTGGTGGTTTGTGATGATGGCGGTGGTGGTGGTGGCGGCGTGGTGGTTTGTGATGGTGGTGGTGGGCTATAGTGTCGGTGGTGGTGGTGCTGCTGCTGGTGCTGGTGCTGGTGCCGGTGGTGGGTGGTGGTGGGTGGTGGTGGTGGTGGTGGTGGGCTGTGGTGGTGGTGGTGGTTGTGGCGTTGTTGTTGTTGTTGTTGTTGTTGAACATTATTAATTCTAAAGAATAATTATTGTTGGGACCCCTGGTGCACGGCCCCCCCGCCGCGCCTAGGCCGCAGCTACATTTTCATCATTTTTTCGCGAAAGCTTCAGAAAAGTGGATGGGGTCCAGATCCGGTTGTTTTGTTGTAATCCGTTTTCCCTTGCAAAAAACACTATAAAATGACATTTCTTGTTCTAATATAATCAAATTTCAAGAATCCCTTGCAAAAAATAAGGTAAAGTGGACATTCGCGCGCGCAAGACGAAATCCTTCCAAAAGCTTAGTGTTCGGAGCGATTTTAACATAAAAACATCAAAAAACCAATGGTTTTTCAACAAAAAAATGTCAAAATCTCATCCCGCGCGCTCTTGCGGATTCGTAGGAAACCCAACACTTTTTAAACATTTCTGTCAAACGGGCTTTTGCGAGCAACTTTTTCGAACTTCTGCGACAACGGTTGCGCACCTGCCAGGGCCATCATCCCTGTCAAATAATACCATGCGGGACACATTCGTTTTTTCTTCGCGCGCGCACGCCGAAATCTTCAATTGCAGGGGGAAAAGTCGTATACTAAGCTAGCTTACAGAAAATGTTACCACAACAAGTCATTGTACCCATGCGCCAGTGTAGTAGCCAAGGTCGTCCGCAGGCCACGAAGTGAGGTGTCCGAACGTCATAGGGCGGGAAGCTGGGTGTGGGTGGTGGCGAAGAGTCGTTTGGAAATTTGGTAGAGCTTGAACCGGCCCCCCCACAAAGTGGGGGTATTGCCCGCCTCCTATGAAAACCCTGGCACTGGTGAGAACGGAGTGTCCCCACGTGCTAGTAATTGTTGTTGTTGTTGTTGTTGTTGGTGGTGGTGGTGGTGGTGGTGGTGGTGGTGGTGGTGGTGTTGTGGTGGTTGGTGGTGGTGGTGGTAATTGTGGTGGTCGTGGTGGCAGGTTGTGGTAGTGGTGGTGGTTGTGGTGGTGGTGTTGGTGTGGTGGTTTCTGGTTGTGGTGGTGCTAGTTGTGGTGGTGGTGGGTTGTGGTTTTGGTGGTGGTGGCGGTGGTGGTGTGGTGGTTTGGTGGTGGTGGTGGGTTGTGGTTTTGGTGGTGGTGCTGGTGGTAGTGTTGGTGGCGGTGGTGGTGGTGATTGTTGTGGGTTGTTGTGGGTTGCGGTGCTGGTGTTGGTGGTGGCGTTGTGGGTGGTGGTGGTGGTGCAGTGGTTTGTGATGATGGTGGTGGTTGTGGTGGTGGTGGGTTTTGGTGGTTGTGGTGGTGGCGCTGGTGGTTGTGGTGGTGGTGTGGTGGTTGCGAGGTTGTTTGTGGTGGTGGTGTGGCCTTCGGGTCTTCCCGCCACCGTGTTTTGGCTTTGGGTCAGGGTTCTAATGGATGTCTCTTAAGGTCTCGTCAGAGGGGTCTCGGGGGCGTCTGAGGAGCGTTCGTGAAGCCTGCTGGACCTTCCTAAGGGCCTCTCGGTATTTTTTGTGGGGCGAGGGCTCGATATGGCGATTTGTGTTTCCCCTCTGGGCCCTCTATGGTCATCCTCGCTGCGTCCCCGCCGTCGGCGCTGCTGGCCGCCGCCAGCGCTGGCGCTGGCGCCGGCTCGGGGGGGGTGCCTCTCTGGTCATCTTCGCTGCGTCCCCGCCGTCGGCGCTGCTGGCCGCCGCCAGTGCCGCCGACGCCTGCGCCAAGGGGGGTGGGGGGTTTGGGGAAGGGGGGGAGGGGTTAGCAGGGTGGAGAGCCCCCCTGGTTCTGATCGACGGCGCCGAATGTTTGGGTGGGGCCCCACCCCCTGTTCGAAACGCGCCGCCGAATGTTCCTAAGGCAAGAGCCCATGAAACGCGCTGTCTCGAACATGAGCAGTTCGAATGAGGTGGTGGAGAAACAAGATGGATGATGAGGGCAGAGGGCAGGAGGAGGAGGAGGAGGAGGAGGAGGAGGAGGAGGAGGAGGAGGAGGAGGAGGAGGAGGAAGAGGAGAAGGAGGAGGACGACGACGACGTCGACGACGAGGACGACGTGAACTCTGGTGGCGTGCCAGATCTTCTTGCGGTGATCCTGGCCCTCTCTCCCGATCCCCCATGCGAAACGGAAGCTCCCGAAAAGTGTCAGTTCAACCGTTTCGCCAGGCTCCTGCGGCGTGGGGAAGCTCGCCTCGGCTTCACAAGTCCCCAGCCAACCCCACACATCACCTCGACCGTGCCTTGGGAGCGGGACGCCCAAACCGGACCAAAATATGTTGGGGGTACCCAGGTGTGGACCACCCTTAGTCGAAAACCCGTGGGTAACAAAGCATAGGTCCCCCCCATAATTTGGTGTTTTAGGATTTCTTGGCTCCTTGAGTCTCACTCCTCACCAATCCCTCCCCCTCGAGAGCGCCCAAACATCCCCCAAAGCTTCCCCCCTCCTATCTTTCCCCTCACCCTCATCTCCCCTGGCGTTCAGCCGTGGCGACGAGGCCCCCCCCCGATGCTCACCAGAGCCCCAAGCTCAGCGAAGCCCCAGGTCTTCGAACATCGATCCTCGACCCTCGATGCTCTCCCCTATGGCCGTCGTCCTCCTCATCTCGCCTCCCCCTCGACTCCCGAGCGACTGCCCTCACATGTGGGGCAGTCGGTGCTCACGGAGACCTCCGACCGCTCAGGTAAGCTAGCAGTCACGGCCTGGCAAACATTGTCGTCCATCAGTGTCCAGAGTGCGGAAAACATATTGTTGTGCCGCCTCCTCCTCCTCCTCCTCCTCCTCCTCCTCCTCCTCCTCCTCCTCCTCTTCCTTCTCCTCCTCTTCCTCCTCCTCCTCCTCCTCCTCCTCCTCCTCCTCCTCCTCCTCCTCCTCCTCCTCCCTCTTCCTCGTCCTCCCCCGAAGGGCTGCGACGACGACAACGACGTCGAGGTCGACGATCATGAGGACGACGCCGATGAGGCCGACGTCGACGATGAGGACGACGGCGACCTCAGGCGCCGCCCCCCCCGAGGTGTGGCCGCTGCTGGTCCAGCTGCAGATGCCCATCCTGCAGCCCTTCATCACCGACCTCGCGCAAGCCGTGCGGCTCCCCGCGGGTGGGGGCGGGGGCACTCGGCGAGGACGCGGCCCCTGAAGAGGAGGCAGGGCGAGGGCGGGGCGAGAATGAGCGGGGCAGAGGCGGCAGATAGCGTCGAAGGTTGACAGCTCCCCCACCCTGCAAGGTCGATTGGCGAGTTGCCCTTCCTCGATTCTCGAGAGGGTGTTACGGGCCTGTGCCCGCCGCCGGGTCTGGTCCCAGGTTTTTCCGGGGGCAAAAGGGTGTTTTGCTAGAGGTAGTCCTGTCCATCTCCGATGAGGTCAGGAATTTCGGCTTCTTGGCGTGACGCTCCGCCGGTTCTGGCCTACCGCGCTTCGGCGCGACACGCTATCCACATCCCGGCCCCCCAGCGCCCACGTCCTGAGCTTTTCCAAGCCTCCCGCCCCGCGGAGCGGAGCGCGGCGCGCTATCCGCCTGCAAGGCGTAGCGTGCTTCAGGGGCCGCCACCGCGACACGCTATCCAAAAGTCCCTGACCGTAGCGAGCGTGAGGGAGGAAGGGGGCATCAGCGGCGGCGGGGGTTGGTGCTGACCCTTGGCGCGGCCCTGGGCGCAGGTTCCGGCACCGCGACTTCAACGCGAAGGACCCAGGGGGGGTGGGGGCCAAAGGTGTCCTTGGCCAAAGTGGTGTCCTCAGCTTCCCGTGCCATTCCTGAGCCTTGGGGCCCACTGGGCCTCGAGAGTGGTGCTCTCGAGCCCTCTAGGCAGACAGGGAAACACCTGGGACGCCTGCCCAGACATCCTATGTCGATCGTGCTTTTTCGATGCAAGCGGGGGTCCTGGGACGTCTCGACCCTTTTCATGGCCAGCTTGTCTTTCTATCCAACATGGTTCGACGGCCCTGTGGTACGAAGACGGTCCCCAGGGCTCCGTCTTGATGTTTTCGATGTGCTGGAGCCCTGGTCTTGGCCATGGACGCCTCCCCAGACACGCGACGTCATGATTTTTTCAGTACGTCGACCCATGGAGGTCTCGACCCATTCCCCTGGACCAGTTTTTCATCCTGAGTCGTTTTTTGACGGTCCGAGGGCCGGCAAGGACCCCCAGAGGCCGAAAATAGGGAAACACTTTCGTTCTGATTTTTCTGCGACCCGATCATGTCTGGGTCCCCAGACATGCGACGCCCTGATTTTGCCGATGCGGTGCCCTCGGAAGTCCCCGCCCCTTCCCCAGGGCCGGCAGTTCGCCCCGAGTATTGGCCTCTTGACGGCCCAAAGGGCCTTGCGAGGGCCTCCCGCCGCAGACGACCAGAGACCTCCCCCCATGCTTCTGCCGCGGCGCGAGCACCTCTGAGCCTGGCCTGACGGGCTTGTTTTCCACCACCACCACCATAAATTGTAGGGGGGAAGGAGGTGGAGGACGAGGAGGAGGAGGAGGACGAAGAGGAGGAGGAGGAGGAGGAGGAGAAGGCGGAGGAGGAGGAGGAGGAGGAGGAGGAGGAGGAGGGGGAGCAGGAGGAGGAGGAGGAGGAGGAGGAGGAGGAGGAGGCAGAGAAGGACTTGCGCTGACTGCCCAGAGCCCCGACGTCATGATTTGTTCATTACGTCGACCCCTGGAGGTCTCGACCCATTCCCCTGGACCGGTTTTTCACCCCGAGTCGATTTTTGACGGTCCCGAAAGCCGACAAGGGCGCCCAGAGTCCGAAAATAACAAAAAAAAACCGTCATGATTTTGTTTATTGCCCGAGGGGGTCTGGCCCCCCCCCCGAAGGATGTCGCGTCGACCGTGGTCGCCTTCGCCAAGCTGGACAGCGTGGACGACGTGGTCGCGGACGTGCTGCCCGAGCAGGCGGCCCAGCTCTCGTCCGTCCGGCGCCGGCGCAACGACCCCCTCGCTCCTCCTGGGTCGCGGGGGCCCAGGGCCCACTCCCGTTCTGGGCTGTGTGCTCTGCCAGGCGGGGGCGCTCCTCCTCTCCTGGGGCAGGGCCAGGACGAGGACAAAAGTCCGTTCCAGAACATTCTGGAGCGCTCTCGGAGCGTTCCGGCACGCGCTGGGGAGGCCGCGGCGCCCGAGGCATCCTTTGGAGCCGCCGGATCTCAGAGATTCTGCGCCTCGCGCAGCGGGGCGCCAGCAGTGCATGTCGGCGGCCCCTGACCCCATAGCCTTGGCAGTGAAGGGCCGGCCCGCTGCGAAAGAGTCCGGCAGGCCAAGGCATAGGAGAGAGAGAGAGAGAGAGAGAGGTAGAGCAAGTAAGCACCAGGAGACGGCGAGGTGGGCGGCCTCTCTTCTCTGAGGAGGCCTCCTCCGCCGCCTCCCTTCGCCGCGGACCACGCAGTGGCACCCGGGCCCCGAGAGCTTTTGCGGCGGGAGAGGCCGAAAAAGGTCCAGGGTTCGGCCTCGAGCGCCTCGCGACGAGGCGTCCGAAGGCGTCGCCAGACTTACTTTCTGCTTTTCTCGTCGTGGCGGGCTGTCGCTTGTTGCAGCGTCTCCTCCCATGGCCCATACCGCCAAGAGGGCTCTGGGTTCAAGTCCCCCGAGTTAACTGGGGCCACAGAAGAGCTGCCTTTCTCCACGTTGCGGAGGTCGCCCAAGGCGCCCCCTGGCCCCAAGGTGTCCCCAGCTTTTCGCCCCGTGCTGGACCCTCTGGGGCCATCAGGGCCTCGCGATCGGGTGCTCAAGACGCTGCCTGGGCCTCCTGGAATATCCTTGGGGACGCCTTGTTGGGCTAGGGACTCCCTTCTGGGCCTCCCACGTGAGGCCAGAGACGAGGGCGTCGGAGGATGGCGCCGCATCTCCGATGCATTGGTGATGCGGCGCGATCCGGAGTCGGCTTTTCTCCGTCTCGACGTCGCTGGTGTGTCGGCGATGAGGGGCGATCCGCCGACACCCTCTGCTCCGGCCCTATCTGGAAGGCATCCGCGCCTCCACCACATCAGAGACCAACTCGGTGCATTCCAGGAAGGGCCTCGCCTGCAGCGCCGCCTCGCCCTCGGCGGAGGCCGGCGGAAGTACAACGGGGGGGGGCAATCTCCAGCGACAAGAGGGAGTAGCGAGCGCAAAACAGAAGGAAGTACAACGGTGGCGGCTCCACCGACGGGAGGCCAGGGGAAGGCGGCGGAAGTAAAAGCGAGGCGTCGACAGATCTGGGCGCACTGTGTCCGACATCGGCCATCTGGACTGATTGAAGCCACGTCTGGAGCTCAAATTTAGATGTCCTGGTGTTATGTTCATGCCCCCCCGGAAGGTGAGTAGCGACTCTTTTTGACCATCCTTGGAATGCGGGCTTGCCTGTCTGTCGGTCAGTCTTTCTGTCTGTCTGCTGCCTCCCAAAACCAGCCCTCTCTATTCCCCTGAGACTTCCTCGAATCTGCTGGTGCCCTCGTCGTCCTCTCTCGTCCCTCCTTTTCCTCCGCTGGCTTTCGAGGACTTGTCGTTGTTCCAGTCGCTCGCCCCTAGTGCTCTTCGAACGCTTCCACAGGGCTGGTTCTTCATCCCGAGTAGCTGGACTAGGCCATATGTAATAGTGACCCTATTGCTGGAGTGACCTGATGCTGGCCTACTCAGGTCCCCAAATAGTAATATTGTGCGATGCGACAGCCTCGGCTTGCGCGCTTGTGTTTGGCTCCTCCCTGCGCCCCTCGAAAACCATGCACCGACGGTCGGTGCCGCTCAGGGCCACTCTCAGACGGACGCTGAACCTGAATCCGAAGAGTGGAAAACCACCAGGTGATTGGGTTTGGCGCGGTCTCTCGAGGGTTCTGGAGCTCCACTGCGGGGGGGCCTCTCGGAGCTCCCAGCGGGGGTGGGGGTCTCTGGACTCTGAAGGCCCCGAGATGATCAAGAGGTGCCCCAACGAGCGACGCAACGGAACGGGGTCGTCTTCGCCAACGTTCGCGCGTAAGCTGTCCGCGTAAGTTCGCGCGTGAGCGCCGTCGTTTCCGATTCGGCGTGCCGCGTTGGCGGCCCGCGTAAGCCGCGGCGTTACGGTCACCGTGTCTTGTTGCGTGGGACCCTTCTCTCCTCGTCTCTGAAATGTCGATCTTCGGTGCCTCTTTTTGTTGACGTTGATCGGAGTTCATGCTCGAGCACGCAGCTTCGTTGCCTCTCCCCCTCCTCCTTCTCCTCCTGTCCGGTTCTCGGGGGCCAGACTTTGGGTTTGCCTCGCTGGACGGGCTCTCGGCGTCGGCTTCAGGCGCCGCGTTGCGGTCCTTTCTGCCGTCTTGCTTGCCTCCTTGCCCGGGAACAGGAGCGCCTCCTCCTTCTAGGCTTCCCTTCATGGGGGGGGGCGATGAGTTGGGGGCAGCGAGGTCTGCAGAGAAAGGGGCCATAGGGGCCCCCAAAGGGGTCCGCTGGGGCCCAAAAGGGGTCCTTCAGGGCCCGAGCAGTGCACCTTTCTTCCCTCCCCAAGTGTGTGGCCCCCCCATTGAGCGACGCCCAGTCCTTCCCCTCCCGCTCCGCGCCCTCTCGACCGAGCACTGGCGTATAGTTTTTCTGTGCGTCGGATGGGCTCGAGAATACATCTGTATTGTGTATATATATATATATATATATATGTATATATACATATATATATATATATATATGTATATATATATATATATATATGAAAGGGCGCACCCGCAGTGCCGGGAATAAGGAAAGGGGGGCCCCAGCTTCAAGCTACCCCCCCCTCCCTTCCAAAGGGGGGGGGGAGCTTCCGAAGCTACCCCACCCCCCTCCCTTTTGTATGGGTTTGTAAGCTAGGGGGCCCTGGCTAAAGGGGGGGGGGCTTCGAAGCTATCCCCCCCCGTCCCTCACTGTTCCAGAGCAGGAGGTGAGCCCAGGCTTCCCTTTCAACAGGGAGGGGCTTCGGAAGCTACCCCCACCCCTTCTTCCTTTTTTGGTCTGGACACAGGGGAGGGGCGGCTTCAAGCTACCCCCCTCCACCCTCCTTTGTAAAGGGGGGGGGGATTCCGAAGCTGCCCCCTTCTCCCTCCCTGCCGGGGTAATGGCAAAACGGCTGAATCCCTGCAGACAGGTGCGCACCGCAGCGCTAGAGAACGCATTGGAGAATAACGTCGCCCCGTGGTTCGTTTCTTGTTTTCTTATTTTCTCGGCCCCTTGTCCGAGTCTCGTTTTCTCGAGCCTTGATTCCTTGTTATCGTTTTCTCGTTTTCTCGGCTCCTGGTTCGCTTGTTTGTTTTCTTGTGTGTTTCGGCCCCTGGGTCGCGATCCTGTTTTCTCTGACTCTGGTTCGTTTTCTCGTTTTCTCGGCCCCTGGGTCGTGGTCTCGTTTTCTCGGACCATGGTTCATTGTCTCGTTTTCTCGTTTTCTCGTCTTCTGGGTTTGTGTTTCGTTGTCTCGACCCTTGGTTCGTTCTCTTGTTTTCTCGTTTTCTCTGCCCTTGGGTCGTGTTCTCGCTGTCTCGGGCCTTGGTTTGTTTTCTCGTTGTCTCGTTTTGTCGTCTCCTGGGTCGTGGTTTCGTTTTCTCGGGCGTTGGTTTGTTTTCTCGTTGTCTCGTTTTCTCGACCCCTGGGTCGTGGTCGTGTTTTCTCGGGCTCTGGTTCGTTTTCGCGTTTTCTGTGCCCTTGGGTCGTGGTTTCGTTTGCTCGGGCTTTGGTTTGTTTTCTCGTTTTCTCGTGTTCTCGGCCCCTGGGTCGTGGTCTCGTTTTCTCGGACCCTGGTTCGTTGTCTCGTCTTCTCGGCTTCTGGGTCTTTGTGTTGTTTTCTTGGGCTTTGGTTCGTGGTCTCGCTTTCTTGTTTTCTCGGCCCCTGGGTCGCGGTCTCGTTTTCTCTGACCCTGGTTAGTTTTTTGTTTTCTCGGCCCCTGGATCGTGGTCCCGTTTTCTCGGACCCTGGTTCGGTTTCTCGTTTTCTCCGTTTCTCGGCCCCTGGATCGTGGTCCCGTTGTCTCGGACCCTGGTTCGTTCTCTCGTTTTCTCGGCCCCTGGGTCGTGGTCTCCTTTTCTCGGACGCTGGTTTGTTTTCTCGTTTTATGGTTTTCTCGGTCCCTTGGTCGTAGTCTCGTTTTCTCGGACCATGGTTCGTTTCACGTTTTCTGGTTTTCTCAGCCCCTGGGTCGTGGTCTCGGTTTTTCGGGCCCCGGTTCGTTTTCTCGTTTTCTTTGCCCCTGGGTTTTTGTCTCGTTTTCTCCGGCGTTGGTTCGTTGTCTGCTTTTCTTGTTTTCTCGGCCACTGGAACGTGGCCTCGTTTTCTCTGACCATGATTCGCTCTCTTGTTCTCTTGTTTTATCGTCCCCTGGGTCGTAGTCTTGTTTTCTCGGACCCTGGTTTGTTTTTTCGTTGTCTTGTTTTCTCGGCCCCTGGTTCGTAGTTTCGTTTTATCGGACCTTGGTTAGTTTTCTCGTTTTCGCGTTTTCTGTGCCCCTTGGTCGTGGTCTCGTTTTCTCGGACCCCGTCTCGTTTTCCGGTGTTCTCGGCCCCTGGGTCGTGGTCTCGTTTTGGCCCTGATTTGTTTTCTCGATTTCTCGTTTTTTTTCTGCCCCTAGATCGTGGTTATGTTTTCTCTGACCCTGGATCGTTTTCTCGTTTTGTCGTGTTCCCGGCCCCTGGGTCGTGGTTTCGTTTTCTCGGACCCTGGTTCGTGTTCTCGTTTCTTGTTTTCTCGGCCCCTGGGTCGTGGTCCAGTTTTATCGGTCTCTTGTTAGTTTTCTCGGTTTCTTGTTTTCTCGGCCCCTGGGTCGTGGTTTCGTTTCTTTGGACGTTGTCTTTGTTTTCTCGTTTTCTCGTTTTCTCAGCCCCTGGATCGTGGTCCCGTTTTCTCGGACCCTGGTTCGGTTTCTCGTTTTCTTGTTTTCTCGGCCCCTGGGTCGTGGTCTCGTTTTTCTCGGACCGATATTCGCGTTTTCTCGGCCACTGGGTCGTGGTCTCGTTTGCTCTGACCTTGTTTCGTTTTCTCGTTTTCTCGTTTTCTCGGCCCCTGGATCGTCATCCCGTTTTCTCGGACCCTCGTTCATTGTCTCGTTTTCTCGTTTTCTCGGCTTTTGGGTCTTTGTTTCGTTGTCTCGAGCCCTGGTTCGTTCTCTTGTGTTCTCGTTTCCTCGGCCCTTGGGTCGTGTTCTCGCTTTCTCGGGCATTGGTTTGTTTTCTCGTTGTCTCGTTTTGTCGTCTCCTGGGTCGTGATCTCGTTTTCTCGGACCCTGGTTCGTTTTCGCGTTTTCTGTGCCCCTGGGTCGTGGTTTCGTTTTCTTGGACCCTTGTTCGTTTTTTTCTGACCCTGGTTTGTCTTCTCGTTTCCCTTGTTCGTTTTTTTTCTGACCCTGGTTTGTTTTCTCGTTTTCTCGGCCCCTGGGCCGTGGTCTCGGACCCTGCTTCGTTTCCTCGTTTTCTCAGCCCCTGGGCCGGGGTCTCGTTTTCGCAGCCCCTGGGTCGTGGTCTCGTTTCCTCTGACCCCGGGTCGTCGTCGTCGTCGTCGTCGTCGTCGTCGTCGTCGTCGTCGTCGTCGTCGTCGTCGTCGTCGTCGTCGTCGTCGTTCGTCGTTCGTCGGTCGTGCGTCGTCCGTCGTCCGTCGCCGTCTTCGTATGACCTCATCTTCGTCGTGACGACTACGACGGGGTCATACGAAGACGGCGACAATGACAGCGACGACGACGACGAGGACGACGACGGCGTCGTACGAAGACGTCGAGCGACGGCGACGGCACCGACGACGGCGACGGGGGAGGATCGTCCGGCAGGGGGAGTTCAAGGGAGGGGGGTGGTAGCTAAGCCGCCCCTCCCCTTTTGGAAAGGGGGGAAGGGGAGGGGAGCTCCCCTCCCCTTTCGTAAGGGGGGGAGGGGGTGGGTAGCTTCCCAGGTGCCGAAAGGGGGGGATGGGAGGGCTGCTAAACCCCCTCCCCCTTTGGAACCAAAGGGGGGAAGGGGGGAGTAGCTTCCGGCAGAGGGTGGTCAAGGGGAGGGGGTAGCTAAGCCCCCCCTCCTTTTGGAAAGTGGGGGGGGGTAGCTTCGGAGTGGCGAAAAAGAGGGAGGGGGGGGTAGCTTCAGGGGGGAGGCGAAAAAGGGGGGGAGGGGGGGGAGTTTCCAGCAGGGGAGGTGGAAGGGAGGGGGGGGTAGCTAAGGGGGGACCCCCCCTTTGCTCCGGCGCTGTTGGCGCGCTCTCTCTCTCTCTCTTTCTCTCTTTCTCTCTCTTTATATCTCATACGTAGCACCCCGCAATTGCGGATAAGAGTGAGGGGGCGGGCGCGGGCGACGCGGGCGTCGTCGAGCCGGCGGACCTCGTGGCCCCCACCTTTCCTGTCGATGGCGCTCTCCTCCTCCTCCTCCTCCTCCTCCTCCTCCTCCTCCTCCTCCTCCTCGTCCTCCTCTTCCTCGTCCTCGTCCTCATCGTCATCAACATCCTCCTCCTCCACCTCGTCCTCCTCCTCTTCTTCCTCGTCCTCCTCGTCCTCATCGTCCTCCCATTGTCGTCCTCTCCCTCATCGGCCTCCACCATCGTCCTCCCATTGTCGTCCATCATCACCTCGTCCTCCTCCTCCCCCTCCTCCCCCTCCTCCCCCTCCTCGTCCTCCTGCTCCTCCTCCTCTTTCTCCACATTCTCCTTACATCCTCTCTTCTTCCGCGCCCTCCTCGTCCCCTGTTTACTCCTCCTGCCTCCTCCTCCTTTCCCATGATAATGGCAACGCAATCCTTGTTTCCACTTTATGCTCCCCGACTTCTCTGATCAAGGCAATTCGCCAGGGCAAAGTTGCTGGGCGGGCTGGTGTGGATGCGCGGGGCTTGAAGAGGTCCTTGCGGGCTCAGACGGCATGCAAAAATCCGCCGTCGCGCTTGTGCGGCATTGGTTTGTTCAGTGAACGTGGTTTGGGTCGCGGGTGGGCCGCGGGCTCTCCACCTCCACCTGGAAGGAATGCAAAAGCAGCCCACCGCAGGCGCCAAAAAAAATGGTTTGTACACTGAACGTGGTTTGGGTCGCGGGTGGGCCGCGGGTTCTCCGCCGGGAGCGAATGCAAAATATGCCCGCCGCAGGCGCCGACAAATTGGTTTGTACCCTGAACGTGGTCGCGGGTGGGCCGCGGGCTATCCACCTGAAACGACTACAAAAGATGCCCGCCGCAGGCGCCGAAAAACGTGGTTTGTACCCTGAACGTGGTTTGGGTCGCGGGTTGGTCCCGAGTTGGTCACGGGGTGGGTCGCGGACTCTCCACTTGGAAAGAATGCGAAAAAAGCCCGCCGCAGGCGCCGAAAACCGTGGTTTGTACCTTGAACGTGGTTTGGGTCGAAGGTGGGTCGCGGGTGGGTCGCGGGGTGGGTCGCGGGTGGGTCGCGGGTGGGTCGCGGGTGGGTCGCGGGTGGTCGCGGGTGGGTCGCGGTGGGCCGCGGGCGGGTCGCGGGGTGGGTCGCGGGGTGGGTCGCGGGTGGGTCGCGGGTGGGTCGCGGGGTGGGTCGCGGGTGGGTCGCGGGTGGGTCGCGGGGTGGGTCGCGGGTGGGTCGCGCGGGGCGGGTGCGGGTGGGACGACGACAACAAAACAACAACAACAACAACAACAACAACAACAACAACAACAACAACAACAATTACTAGCACGTGGGGACACTCCGTTCTCACCAGTGCCAGGGTTTTCATAGGAGGCGGGCAATACCCCCACTTTGTGGGGGGGCCGGTTCAAGCTCTACCAAATTTCCAAACGACTCTTCGCCACCACCCACACCCAGCTTCCCGCCCTATGACGTTCGGACACTTCACTTCGTGGCATGCGGACGACCGTGGCTACTATTCAGGGCCCCGCGGCCGACGACGACGGCGTGCGCGCGCGAAGAAAAAACGAATGTGTCCCGCATGGTATTATTTGACAGGGATGATGGCCCTGGCAGGTGCGCAACCGTTGTCGCAGAAGTTCGAAAAAGTTGCTCGCAAAAGCCCGTTTGACAGAAATGTTTAAAAAGTGTTGGGTTTCCTACGAATCCGCAAGAGCGCGCGGGATGAGATTTTGACATTTTTTGTTGAAAAACCATTGGTTTTTTGATGTTTTTATGTTAAAATCGCTGCGAACACTAAGGTTTTGGAAGGATTTCGTCTTGCGCGCGCGAATGTCCACTTTACCTTATTTTTTGCAAGGGATTCTTGAAATTTGATTATATTAGAACAAGAAATGTCATTTTCTATTGTTTTTTGCAAGGGAAAGCGGATTACAACAAAACAACCGGATCCTGTACACACCCTCTTTTCTGAGGCTTCCTCACGAAAATGATGAAAATGTAGCTGCGGCCTAGGCGGCGCAGGGGGGGCGCGCACCAGGGGGCCCAACAATAATTATTCTTTAGAATAAATAATGTTCAACAACAACAACAACGACAACAACAACAACAACACCAACAACAACAACAACATCATCATCAACATCAACAACAACAACACTAACAACAACAACAACAACAACAACAAACAACAAACGACAAACGACAAACGACAAACGACAACAACAACAATAATCCGCACCGCGGAATTCCACTTCAGCCACGCACCCAGGGACAGTGAATGACCGTTCGGCCCCCTCATTCTGATTTTATATATATATATATATACATACATATGTACAGATACACATTGCTCATTTCTAGGTTTTCGGAAGTTCTTTTGATTTTTTGGGGGGGCCAATCTCGTTTGATTTGTAATTGTTCTATGCTGGGCCTCTTCCGGGCCACAAGGGGGCCAGGAACCATCAGAAATGAACACAATTAGAAATGAACACGATTAGACATGAACGACGTGTACGTATATACACGTATGCCACGTGGTTCGGTCGGCCGAGGAGGAGCTCAGCGAAGGATCTCGGCGCACAGACGCTCCAGCGGCCCACAGGTTGGGCCGTTGGGGCGTCGCTGCACCCGGCGCCTCAAGCCGACCAAACAAGGACGTGGCCGTCGCCGTCGTTGTCGTCCTCGTCGACGTCGTCGTCCTCCTTGTCTTCGTCGTCCTCGTCGTCGTCGTCGTCCTCGTCGTCGTCGTTGTCGTCCTAGCCCCTCCCAGGGCGTCCCCCGCATGCCCAGACTCTGGAAAGCCAGCCGCTGGGCTCTCGTTGAGGGGTGCGGGAGGTCCTTGGAGCGAGGCGGGTGGGGGCCGAGCATTTTCTGTGGACGGAGGGCAAAAAGTGAAATCTGAAATGCCGTTTCGATGGATGTTCGAGGCTTGAAACTGCAAAAGGTGAATCACAGGACGGATTGGTTTCGAGGTACAAAAGCTCATCTGGATTTCACTTTGAGCCCTCCACCCTGAGAAAATGCTCAGGAGGGGAGGGTTGCCCCCCCTCCCTCGTCCGCCCGTCCGTCCTGCCTCGCGCGCAGGTCGAGGCCAGGATATCAGAGTTTCCGGACAAGGACCTGCTGGCCCGTTTGCGCCTGCGGAGGAGGAGGGGGGCAAAGAGGTGGAGGGTGGGGAGCAGAAGAAGAAGGAACTGGAGACGGAGGAGGGGAATGAGGTGGCGCAGGAGGAGAAGGAGGATCAGGAGGAGGATCAGGAGGACGTCAGGCCTGGACGTCCCAGGACGTCAGGCCCGCCAAGGGCAGCAACAACAACAAAAACGACCATACCATCCGAACAACGACTACAATCTTCCATCCTGGATCAGCGGGGCAATTGGACCAAAGTTGGCCGCCAGCCCAAGCTTGCCAAGAAAGTAGCTTGAGTTGTGGCTCTGGGTAGGCATGTGGTGAAAACTTCAGGCATATCCCTCAGGACGTGGCCGTATGATTGATTGCGCCCGTCCTGGCCGATCCGAGTCTGGAGCGTTACGCCGTCCGGCAAGCTGCCCGCTGGCGGTTCGCGTAAGCCTCGCGTAAGGCGTGGTGGCGTCTACCTGGCCGGGGTCCGAAAACCTTGCAGGTTTATGGTGAGTCCGTGGCTGTGGGCCATTTGGGCTCCAGGGGTCGCGTGCCCGAGGCGCTAACTTTTTTGATATCCCTCCCAAGCGCCGCGGCCTCGTAGAGTTTGACCAGCGATTCACCATGACGGCTATATAGACGAACCAAGACCGAAAGCGACGACACAGAAGGAGAGCCAACCCAACATTGCCGGGCGAGACTTGGTCGCCAGCCCAAGCTGACCAACAGAGAACGCCGCGGCGGAGGCGGAGAAGCGCCTGCGCCGCTGGCTTTCGCCGACAGGACACGGCGACGACCAGATGAGGAACGGACGGCAGTGACGCCGCCGACTTCATGTGGGGCGTTTCTAAAAGTGCCTTGCCTTCGAGAAGAGAAGGTGTTGTCATCTCTTCCGCGGCGGAAGACGGCGGAAGGGCGCTGGAAGGTCGGCGAACGTAAAACGAGGCCGCCTCCGCTGGCGGAAGCCGGCGGAAGGGCGGCGGAAGGTGCCGGAAGTGAACGATGCGCCCCCAAGAGATGAACACGTTTTTGGCTTCAGGGTTTCCGAAGTCTGCCATGACAGAGTGACCCTTCGCCGGAGTGTCATTTCCTGCGGGGCCACGGGGATCTCCCAGTCGCCGAGTCCGATGCCATAGCAGCGGCTTGCGCGCTTGGGCTTAGCCCCCCGCCTGCGCCACCCTCAGGCCGCGCACCAAAGGCCACTCTTGCCCAAGGTACCTCTGGTGCGTGTGTGTGTGTGTGTGTGTGTGTGTGCGTGTGTGTGTGTGTAGTCCACCGACCCTGGAACCTTTGGGGAAACCACCAGAGGTCTGCGTTTGGGGAGGCTTCTCTCATCTTCTCTCGAGGGTTCCGAAGGTCTCTGCGTCGTGTGGTGATCACGACGACAGCATTTGTCATACCTTTCGCTCCTTGGGAGTGGGCCAGCGGGTACGTCGAATAACAAGGCGCGCAAGCAGTCCTGCGAGTGCCTCGACTTAGCCCCCCACCTAGTTTTGATGGAGAGGCCAGATTGGTTCTGTGCTTTGGGGATGGCGTGTGCTATCGTTCCTAGGATGTTTGTGGGCACGGCGGGCACGGTGAACCACAAAGGGGTGTTCGTTCGCTCGTCAAGTCGCTTTCTCAATGGCGTGTCTGCCCGCCTGGATGCCCAAAGATAACAGAACAACTCCATACAAAATGGACCTTCGAACCTGGGTCCTCCTCTTCCTCCTCCTCCTCCTCGTCCATCGGGTCGGCATCGTCCGTCGTCGGCCGTCGTGCGTCGTCCGTCGCCGTCGTGGTCGTCGTCAGTCGTCCTCCTCGTCGCACGGAGGTCTCCGGAGGTTTCCGGAAGGGCAGGGAGTGCCCGAAGCACCCAGCGATTTGATTTGGATCTTCGAGCCTCGTTCCTCGCACTTCGGCCCTGCTCCTACAGGTCGCCGTCCGCCGTCCCTCGTCGGCACCGCCGCCGTCGCCGTCGTCGTCCTCCGCGTCGCCGTCGCCGCCGTGGGCGCCCGCGGCGAGGACCTCAGCCTGCTGCTCTGGGCCTGCTCGCGGCCCGGCTGGGTGGGCAGGCGCTGCTCCGAGGCGGCCGTGGCGGAGGCCCCCGGGGGGGCGCGCCCCCAGCCAGGCTGCGGAGCTCGAGGCTTCGAGGTTCGAGGGTTCTGCTTCCTCCTCCTCCTCCTCCTCCTCCTCCTCCTCCTCGTCCCGAGACCGCGCGTCGTAAAGCACAACTCTCGGCGTAAGGTTTGACGCTGCTTTCGGCGTCCCTGGCCAGGCCCAAGAATAGATAAAGACAGCTCAGGGTGAAAACCCGGTCCAGGGGAAGAGGTCCAGACTTCCAGTGTCCATGATGCGAAACAATAAAGAAGCAAGTCGGAATTTGGGCCATCCTGTCGTCATCCTTCTCCTCGTCTTCTTGCTCCTCCTCAAGATCGAGGACCGAGATTCAAGGTTCTAGGTTCGAGGCCTCGAAGCTCGAGAATACAGGATCGACGACAACGCCGACATCGTCGCGTCGGAGGCTTTCGTTGCTCTCCTGGAGGTGCCCGTCGCCACGGTTTTCGAGAATCTAGATTCGACGATTGTTTTTGTTGTTCATCGTCTTGTGAATTTGCCCAAGGGAGCCTCGGCAGGCTTTCTGGGGGCGGCCAGCTCGAGGCTTCTGGAGGCTTGGGGAACGATGTTCCCAGGCCTCGCGGGGCGGAAAGTGCACGACGGAAAGTCTGTCGCCCTTTTCGGCTTGGGGGCCCTGCCAGGCCCCCGGGCAGTCAGAAAAGAAGAAACTGGTCCCGGAGAAAGTCCGCCACCAAAAAATTAGCCTGGCGAAGGACCCAACCGTATGCAGTTGTGAATACCGTCGTTGTTAGTATTGCCTTCGGTGGATCTCTTTATGGGGCCACGAAGCGCGTGAAGAGTGTGCTGAAATGGGGCGGGGCCGCCATGCGGGCGCTGCTACTGGGGCCTGATGTGGAGCCCCCTGCATGGGGCCAAGAAACGTGTGAGAGGTGTTCCAAAATGGGGCGGCGCCGCCCTGCGGACTGCGCCACTGGGACCTTCGGTGGAGCTCCCGACGCGGCCGCGAAACGTGAGGGGTGTGCCAAAATTGGGCGGTGCCGCCATGCGGACTGCGCAACTGGGACCTTGGGGGGAACTCCCTGTGGGACCACGAAACGTGTGAGGGGTGTTCCACCATAGGGCGGCGCCGCCATGCGGACTGCGCCACTGGGACCTTCGGTGGAGCTCCCTATGGTGTCACGAGACGTGTGAGGGGTGTACCGGGATTGGGCGGCGCCGCCATGCGGACTGCGCAACTGGGACCTTGGGGGGAGCTCCCTATGGGGCCACGAAACATGTGAGAGGTGTGCCAAAATGGGGCGGCGCCGCCATGCGGACTGCGCCACTGGGACCTTCGGTGGAGCTCCCTCTGCGGCCGCGAAAACGTGTGAGAGGTGTGCCAAAATGTGGCGGCGCCGCCATGCGGACTGCGCCACTGGGACCTTAGGTGGAGCTCCTTATGCGGCCACGAAACGTGGGAAGGGTTGTGCCAAAATGGGGCGGCGCCGCCATGCGGACCGCACCACTGGGACCATAGGTGGAGCTCCCTATGGGGCCACGAAACGTGTGAGGGGTGTGCCACCATGGGGCGGCGCCGCCATGCGGACTGCGCCACTGGGACCTTAGATGGAGCTCCTTATGCGGCCGCGAACACGTGTGAGGGGTGTGCCAAAATTGGGCGGCGCCGCCATGCGGACTGCGCAACTGGGACGTTAGGTGGAGCTCCCTATGGGGCCACGAAACGTGTGAGGGGTGTGCCGAAACGGGTGATGACGATGAAGATGGAGGAGGGAGGGGGCAGCGGGAGGAGTGACGCGGGGCGCTGTCTTTTCAAAACGAGGATTCAACACCACAGGATGGTTGGGAAATACACAGACACCCTCTAATAGATTGTTCCTGTGCCTCAGGGGAGAATGACGGTCCATACATCACAACCGCAAGCCGGCGACTTTTACACCGCCGTCCCCCTTGAAGGCACATGCAACATTCGTCGGCGGGTGTCTGTGTGTATGTATTCAATATCTGTACATACACATATATATATATATATATATATATATATGTATACACATATTCAAGACGCTTCGCATTCACCGCCTGCCCACTCCATTTCTCGCCGCACGAGGCGAAGACGGCTCCACGACGGCATGAACATGTTCAGAACATCATGCAAGACCCCCCGCAGGTGTGTTTTATTGTTTTTGCCCGCGTTCCATTGTTGTTCCCAACCCATAGCTTGTTAGGGTCAAGAATGCCGCGTGGCTGATCGATAGTAGATTTGCCGTTTGGTCGTCGTCCCGTCATCAGTACAGACGGATCAGCCATATGGACGTTGGCTCTCTGGGCCCTTGTTTACTATCCACACCAGGAGGCCAGAAGTAGCCCGAACACTGCCCAAAATCATCCCAAAACGGCCCGAACGTTGCCCAAAAAGAGCCAAGCACGGACCTATGCGGCTCAGGCGGGCGTTGAACGGCCGAAGCGACAGCACGTCCGTGCTGGGCCGTAACTCCGTCGGAATGCCGTTGAGCATCGGGCTGGTTTAGATCCTGTTTTGGGACCCACGTGAAGCCCAGGAGCGTCCAACATTGATCCTGGATCGAGTCCACAAGCAACGTAGGTGTGGGAGCAGGTGTATGTAAGGTGCAGCACGAGTTGTAGATCCCAGATAGGGGGTCGAGGTTCTGACGATGCATGCAGGCGTCTGGGTCGATGTTTGTCTCGGACGTCATGTTCTGCTTGGGCGTGAACTCAGGCATGGCGTGCGGCGTCATGTGGCTTCATGCTATAGCACATTGGACACAATTCCCGAGATCTAGTGGCCTTCGTGCCTGGCTGGTGGGTTCCGAAGCCTCTTGGATGCTGCTCGGGAATGCGTGGAATGCCTTGCGAATGCATCTGGATACTGTGTGTTTACGTTGGTGCAATCGGCATGCCTCAAGTAGTACCGAGGT